TAAAAGAAGCTAAATATAATTAAATATGTTAAGTTATCTCGCCAAACAACATACTCATCTAAAAACCCAACGGAAATACATGGCTTTGACCCTCAACACACGTTAGCCGAACACGATTAAACCAATCAACAAATTCATTGCAAATCCCATAGGCACAGCCACAATCGCTACGACCCTCCTGACGAGCTTCGCCCAACGGTATAAAAAAAAGCCAAAAAGTCGTTACGACTTTATAATCTTTATATAATGGTCTATGATTTAGATATCAACATATTAGATATATATACTATATCAATTATAAGACATTTATATATATATATATTACATATACACTAAATATAAACACCATAGAACATACAGTAATCATATTCACATTTTGAACGATTAAATATATTAAAGTCAAATTCATTTTTCTCGAACTTGGTTTCAATGATTTGGTCTTGGCGATGGTGGGTTGAATGCTCAGTCACGTCAATCATCTCTCCTGTGTGAATTCATGACCCATTGACAGGATATTGGAAGCAACTGGCTTCAGAATCGGGTTGCAGGTCCTGTTCTTCTCGCACCAAACGTTGTATTGCTGCTCCCCCTGCAAACACGTCAACATGTTGAACGCCGATGATGAAAACTCTCACAGTGCCTTCGTATACTTTTGTAGTTTTGGGTGCTGGGACCTAAAAACGCAGAACATGTTTCGTTAAAATATTCAAGCGGGCCTGGACCCGCCACCTGCACTTCACGAAGTTGATCAGCATTGCGCAATTCATTCAGAGCCTGATCCAAATTGCCAGTACTTAGGCACATTCATTGACTGCAGCCAAATCATGTCCAGTTGCAAGAGCATTCAGAACATGTCCAACAAGAAAAATCGCAAACTAAGATGCTTGCGTCTGCACACGCCGCAACAAAGGATGCCGCCGACACCTTTTGTGGAACCTGTGCCGCATGGTATTCCCGGATTTCACGGTGGATCTAGCAGATCTTCAACATTGTATCCAGGGGATGCTCTCAAGTGGGCTGTTCGAGTTTTATGTGCTTATTCAAATCTGCAAGTGTGGATAATGATGGATAATGATGGATAATGTATGGTAACCTCACCTGGCAGCTGTTGCACAACAGGCATCGTTGCAAGCTGCGACTCAAGGTTCCTGACGCAGCTACTACGCCTCTGCGAACGCAAAGATGAAATCCTGGTATACTGCATTCTGCGTGTGTCCACACTGACAGGTTGATCATGTTTGATTATGTCTAATTAAGTCTAACCACATAGTACTTATAGTACATGCTAGTTTCTGATTTTGAGTCCCAAACCAGGTATGAAGATCTCATGGATCGGAGCCTCATGGCTGTCTATCAGGCTTCTTTTTGATGCGCTGTCTCTGGGACTTGCATTTGTCAACTGTAGTTCTACTACAGGGTGAAAGCTGTGCTTCCACTTTTTGTATCTTTTTGTCAAGTGATGCGAATCACACTGTGAGCGCTCTATGCCAACTTGGTACAGCTCTCTTGCCCAGTAAAAATCACAAGGTTGAAGTTAAATCCAGCACGAAACTGAGTTCTCAACTGATTCAGCCTCCAGTTCAAAGGAATGGTCAGGGAAGGCTGCTGCAATATGCTGCAATCAGATTCGGCTGTGCTGAAATGGACATTTTTGCTCCAAGTGCCTCAGACGAAGTGTCCTGCACGGCGCCAGAAACAATTGGGGTCCACCATGGTTCCAGCCATGGAACATAGATTGGAATAGCGAGGCATTGACATGGGTCATCATGGGTCCGTCCTGCAACATGTATGGTGCCGCAACCCAAAGCTTGCTGACCTCAGCCATTACTTGGTGGATCCTGGTGGATCCTGGTGGATCCTGGTGGTTTTGTACTGGACATCTCTGGACATTGATAAATTTCATGCTGCCTCTCGCGCCGTGCTTCTCGAATGCAGTACTCGCCACAGAAGGCGAACCTGGCGCTACAAAATCTTCTGAAATGTCCTGAATCTACAGATCCAAATGCACAGCATCTGAAATTGCAGGGGCGCTTGTCGGGCTTTGCTTGACATGTTGAAACAATCTTTTGAAATAGCAATTATTGGCATGAAATGGCATGAACATCAGGAAATCATCAAGCTTAAAGACATCTTTAAACATCTTTAAACCATGGATAGCCACATTTCATGGTGCTTTTGCTTGAAACTGCGCACCTCTTGTGGCCAATCAGCTTGGACATCGGCCACTCGTTGAAGCACCTGTTCCAAGTTGGAAAATCCAAGAGCTTAGAAGATGAATCAATCAGAAACCATTTGGGCAATCCAGTCCATTCAGAATATGAATCAATTCGTACCATGAGTATCCATGAATTCTTAGACCTATCTATAAATCATGCACGAATGAGCTTGGACAATGCAAGCAAAAACGTTCGAAGGCATGCCTCGCACAGCCTTTTTTGTGGAAGTGCTGGAGGCAAGTCCCCACGAACAAGAAATTCAGCAGACCTCGTCCACTTAGTTCACTTTTGCTCAAAATGACAAACCCAAATTGGGAAGAACCGTGAACAAACAAACACTCTCAGCGATTGCCTGCTTGAAGGCTGTGTAGCTCAATTGTAGAGTTCTGGAATAGAGTTTTTGAATTCCTTGCTGTGACAGCTCTTTTTGATTCTTTTTGCTATTTCTTGCTAAGGCCTTGGCATGGCACCACCAGATTCAAGTTCCCGCTTTTTCCACACCTGCCACGAAGGGCACTGTGGCGCCTATTGGCTGGAGCTGTCACCAATGGGTCAGTGGGTGACTATGGTGACTGCGACAGGGACCTTCTCTTGCTGTGGCGTGGCCGCTTTCAACCTTGTCCAGCTGAGCCCTTGACTACACCAAGAATATCATTGAAATTGATAGAATATGATAGAATATCCAGATTCCGTAATTTATCTCTGTGGCTATTGTAGTCTTGGAGCTGCCAGGATTAATTTTCACCCCTGTCATTGGCTGTTGCAATCCGTTGCCACTGCATAAAGCTACGTTTGGACTGAGTGTCATGCAAGCAGCCGAAGCTTCCAGTCCATAGGAGGATGAGTTGATGAAGCGGCAATTTGCACCTTGGGAGATTTAAATAGATTTAAGTCAAACAAGAAATTGATTTTTCGAAAAAACACTCCGAGACATGCTGAACTATCTGAACTCAACATGAGGGCCACCTGTAGATGTTCAGCGCCGGCTTCCGCTTGAGGTCCGCGCTCATTGGTCGAATTCGCCCCAATTGGACTTCGACCTTGATACGACATCCCCGTACCCAACACCTGAGCAGTGTTCAAAACTTGATGATTACGTGGGATCACTGAATTACACTAGCCAATATATTGGGGATTACAATATATTACAATAATCCAATAGGGGAATCCCAAACAAAACCAACCATTGATGATGTTCCTGAATATCTGCTGAGCTTGGCACAGCAGCATGACATCAATGCCAAAAGCTGCTGCAGCAACCGCGTCCGCGCTTGAGCCTGGGCCTAAGTCCATGGTCTCAGCATGTCTCAGCAGATTCCGATATCAATACATTCAACAATTCGACAATGCAAATGTATGGCACTTGTAGTCCTATGGAACACAGATCATTACATACAGTATCACCATGTATCACCTCAGTACAATCAAGATAATCAAGTCAAGAAAACCTGACTGCGGTCAAAAACAGATCCTTATGGACTTGGTCGCAGGCTGTGCTTCTCCGCTCTGTCGCCCAGTCTCTGGCCCAAAGCAATGCTTCCAGCAACGCCTTGGCAGATCTGCCAAGCAACGATATAACAACGATATATCCGCGGTCATGACATGTCATGACATGCATGGCACTAAACTTACTGTTGAAGCTCCGAATTGCACGATCTCGCATCCGCAGCATAACAACTGGACAAACACCATGAATAAATCTGGTTATAGATTTTATCGTTTATAAGTGTTTATCGTACTGTATACATGTTTATAGGACAGCTTCCTTAGCCGGCCATCATATCCTCCATCGAGTTCTGGCAAAACAATGTGACTGTAAACTCCCCAGAACTGAGACTCCATCTGATGGACCGCCGGCCAATCGCAAGACTTCGACACCTCTTGAGTTGCAAAGTTTCAGATTGGATGAATAATATGAACAGCCCCCAAATCAGAAGACCAGAGAAGCAAGGAAAAACGCATTGACACGTTTGTGATGAAACAATCAAGTAAAGCAACAATTTTAGGGATTCTTTCAAGGTCAGGGCGAGATTAGCATATCTTCTGTACACTGATCCCAAGGTACAGTAGCACTTGCTGCCAAGTCTCAGTTCAAGTCCTGCTGGTCATGGAGGATCTCAGCAAAAGCGACGCTGGTTGAGTGAAACAAGGCAGAACAATAATGCTGGCAAACAGATTTGACAGACTTGCATTGTCAAAAGATGCCAGAAGAATTCAAAAGTCTCCGAATTTCTGGATTTGGGAAGCGTGCCACGGTCCAAAGGGACAAGCATCTCGGACGATCAACCTGTGCGGGCCAGCGAAGTGCTACTGACAAGTTGTTTGTCCTACAACTTGAACAAAGGCCATAAGACGTTCAAGAACAATTCATGAACAATTCTTGTGATGCTCGCAGCAACGAGCTTTTGCATCTTGCCAAAGGTAGCTGGTTCAAGTCTGCAAGTCACAAGTCTCTTGCTGCATTGGCATCTGATGAGTCACATTGGTACAGTAATGCCTCGCACTTGCAGCTCAAATCCCGAACTGTTCACGTCAGACCATGGAAGACCATGGCCTGCGTGGAAACCTGTGAGACATTCTGTCGCTCCGTCATGGTTGAGGCGCCCTTCCCTTGAGATTCGACAGCTCCACACCGCAGGCTCTGGGATTCTCACCTTGCCACGACTTGCCTCTGGTCACCACATCGATGTTTGCCTTTGGTGCTTTGTCAAAGTTGATTGTCCACGTTATCAAAGAACTTTTGGCACATGCCATCAGCCGATGCCACATATTTCGCCACGCGTGCGCGTCCACCAAAAGTCCAAACAATTGCGATATACATTGCCTTTGCTGAATGGATTTATAAACCGCTTTTCTTTGGACCAGAAGTGCTCATATCTTTGCATGTGCAACATTTCATTCATAGTGACATTCTGCGATATCAATGCAAATTGTACGAGGATTAGCAAGCTAATGCCAGGGACTGTGGTGACATGAACTACTAGGAGAAATGTGATCACTGGATGCTGCATCAGTGCAGTGCCTGCCTCACTATACGTGGTAGATCCAATTGCAGTATGTGCAAGTGTGCAAAGGCACAATGCACCGTGAGTCATTTGAGAGATTACCTCCAGAATCAGTAGACACAGGAATGGCCGGTGATTTTTCCTCCCAATTGGTGCATTCAGAAGAATGCAGAAGTGGTCAAACTCTTCTATGCAGCTGCCTGTCAAAGAGCAGTACTTTGTCCGCACGTCTTTCAAAATCCATGTCGTCGTGCAAAGCTGCTTCGGCTTTGGCAACATCTCCCTTGGCAAGTCAGATGCCACCTGCGAAATGAACTCCCCAACACCATCGGCTTGTGCAGCAAGACCGGGATCCATCCGAATGATGTATTGGGCAAGTGTCAGAATGACTGGGACTGAAACTTCAAAGATGAAACTGACCCTTGGCATTGCAAGCCACCGCAAAGAACGTGAGACTGCAACATGCTCCCAAACAGCACATGCACAAGCACCATGACAAAAGACTGGCACTACCCTGCGAGTGACTTGGTCAGGATACATGAACTTGTGCAACATGTATTGCAAAAAAGCCCGAAAAGTGACCTTCAAATCGTGCTGATGCAGGGAATGATGCCGTTTGTTCTCGCTGTGGTCACTTTGAATTTCAAGGTCTGCCGTGAGGAAGTCCACAACAGCTCCATGGCCATGAGAAACTGCAGAGTCCAGGGCAGACTTGCCATATTGATCTCGGGCCAGAAGATTGCACTGCCATTTGACCAAAAGCCTCACCATCAGCAGATCACCGGAAGATGCAGCGAAATGGAGAGGCCTTTGGCCCTCATGATTTGCAGTTTGAAGTGTGCTCATGGCTCCATAGTGCATCAACAAGAACATACAATAGTGGTGCCCCAGTTGTATTGCCATTGCCACAGGGGTTGTACCACCAGAATCTTGGCTGCTCGCGCTGGCTTGGGCTTTCAGAAGACTTCTGGCTGCTGTCAGGTCATCTCTCAGAATTGCTATCATCAAGGCTGTCCTTTGAAACGCATCCGGAACATCCACATCGTCATCATCGTCTTTCCATCGACTCAAGAGGTGGCAAAGAAGCTCAGGATCGTGAAGATGCACAGCTAAATGTAAATCAGTGTAGCCCTCCACGTCAACCAGGCGGCGACATGATGGGTCTGTGGCAGCAGCTCTTAGAACTTGCTCACAAGTTGAACTGCCCGAACTACCGTGCATCATCTCTGAAGTTGTGCTGCGGATGCGTACTGTCAAATAATGGCATTAATGACACTACAGTGTCTACAGTGTCTACCAAACGGTCGCACAATGTCCTTTGCCGACAAATTGCTCGACTCTACAGCAATCTGGGTGCCAAAAGCCTGGCCTGGCTGCTGGTGTTGCTGTCCACAGGCCTTGCAATAGCTCAGTCAGGTAGTGTATCAGTTGTTGGAAATGGCCAACACCTCCGTTACACTAGAGAATGGCATTTCCGCCAATAACATGTGTATGTATATATATATGTTTATGTAATAAAACAAGTAAAACATATCCACATCTACAGTACAGTTCGAGCATCCACTACCCTCTCAGCAAGCTTGTGACCATCATTCAGAGCTAAACTCGTAATGCTGGAAAGATCGATTCACATCCGAATGCCAAAGAATGCCAACGCTGCTTCAAAAGCAACAACACCACAAAATTTATAGCTTCGCATCCAGTCGCATCACAGAGTACTGGGACTGTCACGCATTCTGTAGGATGATTCTCGCTAGCTGAACTGCTGTAGGAGCTGCAGTGTTGGAGAGACCTCACAGTCGACTCACAGTCAGTCCATGTGAATGGATCATTTGATACAATTAGCCAGTTAGATATGATGATACGAGTACCACAGCTACCCATGTTGAAGAGCGGCATAGTCAAAGACGGTGCAAACATATCCAATCATCACTTTCAGTTTCAACAGTTGGGAGGGTTTTGTTAGTATGACATCATATGACATCAATCTTAGACACATCAACTATCATCAAATATGGATCAACACAGTGCATGTCGCAAAGGACTTGGGTCAAAAACGAATCCTTGTGACTTGACCCAGTCAGATACCCTATGTGGATCTATGTGGAATCTGCATCACTGAGATTCACTGAGCTCTGGGCGAAGCAAACTGCAAAGGTTGGAAGGCAGAACTTGCTGCAAAATCATTCCGGGGTTCCGGCCTCAGGTAAAGAGTAAAGCCTCCCTTGGGAGCTGCACCGAGTTTTCACAGGCCGCTTTCGCCACATTCGCCACATTGTTACGTACTTGTTACATCTTATTACGCTATTTCGCATTTGAAGACATGGAAGAACATGTCTGGCACTCTCAAATTGATACATTGACCTAAAGGTTACACGAGTACACTTGCGGCAATGCAGACTCACGCCCAACCCCCTGCTCTGTCCACACTTGAAGAAAGAACAAGCTAGTTGCTAGTTCATACTCATTCGTACTAATTCGCTACAATTCATACTGCTTGATACGAATTCACCATAATCAGGGGGAGCTTTGTCTCTGGACCTCCAATCCTGAGGGCAATTCTCAACGAAAGTAGTTGGGCAAAAAGCTCCGAGTCCTTGATGTGCTCAACAGACCAAACCTGTACAACTTGGAGACAGGAACAATGAGGAACAATGAGGAACAACATGCAAAAACATGCCACTCCAGTTTCGAAGAGCCAGGAAAGCTGAAAGGAAAGCTGAAAGGAAAGCTGAAAGGAAAGCTGAAAGGAAAGCTGAAAGCTCTGTCTTTTTGGCCACAATGCGCTTGGCAAGTGCAGTGTTTTTCTGCCGTTCCTGCATACGGAAAATGCTGCTGAACAGGATCTTTTTTGATCCATGGAATGCATTTGAATGCAGTTGGAGCTGAGGTTTCCATTAGTTTCCAGGACCATGGAGAGTGCAACCATCGTCATGATTGTGCTTGGTGATGAAGCGCCACGTGAGGTTGATCCTGGGTTCTTCCACCTCCGGTTCTCGGAGAACAGCATGGAGGTAATGACGTTGGAAGCGGCCTTCCATGGTGCAAAGGTCACCGTGGGACACCACGAAGGACGAGGTCGCTTCGTTCCGTGCGACTCCTTTGACACCCTTCTTCTTCAGCTGAAAGGTTCTGGAAGAGCCTAATGACAGGCTCAAAATGCAAATATCATTGTACTCACCTTCAAAAAGAGGCTCATCATCAGTGTGCCAACCCACTTGATCATTACCATCTCGGTAAAGGTTGATGTTACAAGAGTTGGGCTGCTCATCCAAGCCTGCAATATCCACGCATTTTTCCCGAATCTCAGCCAACCAGTCAGGCTCGACATAGGGTTTGACTGCAACTCCAGAGTATTTATATGTACAATTGCAGCCTTTTGCAACTGAGAAAATGGTCCGTCTTGGGATCGCTTTTCCATCTGCCCGATATTTGGTGTCTGTAGGGTCCTGCCATGGCAGTCGAGTCTCCAACCTTGGTGATGATACGTGGGACCCATCACCTTCTGTATGCACGCAAGTCTAGCTTCTGCCAATGAACGTCATGAAACGACAGGTGCGAAGTGTGGGAGGTTTCTACATCTGACGTAAGGCCTTTTCCGCTGAAACATGAACTTTCAAGTTCTTGCCCTATACGGACACGTGATTGCACATGGTCTGATCATGACTTCAACTTCACCCCGATTGATCGATAATTGATGACTCAGCCCCTTTCTGGGGTTGCAACTGAACTAAGCACTTGCACATACATTTGCCTGATTTTGGGTGCAGTTGTAGCAAGTCTCAGGGATTTTTTTTAGGTCCAAGGCTTCCAAGGGACCATTCAAACCACTGCCAAGCAAGGTCGCTATCAATGGCTTGACGGCACACTGCTGCGTAGGAGCGGCAGGCTTCATCTGCAATAACCTGCTCCCAGTCACCTGCAGCACATACGCACAAAGTGAGTTTGGTGCGAAGGGAACGAAACAAGTGCAGAATAAAGGGGACTTGGAGAACGATGGAAACTCAAATGCATAATACCATATTAATCCATGTTAACATCCATGTCAACATCCATATGTTCTGTATAAGGCCGCCGGAGAATACATATGAAGAAAAAACATCAGCACAAAAGGCTTCTGTTGGATTCAATTGGTGGGCACTGCTTTCTACTGTGGCAGGGAAAACTGAAGTGATAGCACTGACAAAAGCAAGCATCCACATGTACTTGTGCGCCATTGGCCAACTGACACCAAGGACTTGGTGGAACAGAAATGAAACGATCTTCCAAACAATGAGGGACACACCCGTACTCTGCCTATCCTGCCTCATGCCATGCTAATAGAGGCATCTCCACAATGAAATGCAATGAACCGCAGCCGACAGTATTGTTAAACAAATCCTATTGTTGCCTATTGTTGATGGTCAAATCCCGTTTTTGATGGTAGAATTTGCACATGAGGCTGCACTACAATGGTGCCAAAAATGAGCCAATCCTGGCACCGCAGCTTTTCAGCAACTGGCCTTTGATGCCAATCTCAGCAACGGTGTCCAAGGCAAGTTCTCTGCGAGGGGGCTCTACTTGTGCCCAAAGACCCTGACGCAACCTGGCTGTGTCCACAGAATACCTTGAGGAGATCTGATATTTTTGGTATTTTTGGGATGCTCTCCTGCTCATTTTTGATTTTGGAGGGGTTAGTGTTCCCATGCCCACCAGAATCACCTGACCTCGTCCCAAAGAATGGGACACCATTAAACAAAAAGGACACTAGAAAACATCAAAAAAGAAGTTGGTCTCCCAAGCTCAAGCGACAGTTCAATTTTCTTCATCGCCTCTTTGGCTGTGAATTCTGGGACCCCGGTTTTTTGCAGATTTCCCTCTGTCAGCTGTGTCAGGAGATCAAAGCCATTCACAGGAATCTGTCGGCTCCATTGACCCAGGCCTCCTTCCTCGAGTAAAGACATGGAACAAAAATAAAATCATGGGCTGCATCCACAAACACGTTTGCGTTTGGGTCAACTTACACGGCATATAGTTTTGGTCATCCAGCCCATAATGGGAATCCTGAAAATGGATATGTATATATATATACACACATATAAAGATGTCCCTATTAATCTGGATTGATCACGATCCCCCAATACACACTTGGGGTTGATTGATGGGAAAAGCCTTAGGATATATATATATATATATCTATATACAACCTCGATAAGCTAGGAGATCTCCTATTGACCACGACTACAAAACCACTTGCATAAAAAACGTGATGCTGTACAGCTCAACTGTGGCCAGCTTTTGTTTGGGGTGGGCACAATGCTTGAAGTAACATGTCAGGATCCATTTATGTAGATATTCTACAGCCTGAATGCGTCTCTGTGCTTATCCATGTCGGCTCCAAAGCAAACTTCATCCGATTTCTGCAACCCAGCTTCATTATGCAGCCAACATTTGGCTTCTGCGTTGTCCCAGACTAAAACATCACCTGCACAATGTGGATCAAGAGACATGATGCCAGTGAAACTTGCTTTCCATGCGTCCGGAATTGCAAACAGCCCAAAAAAACTAGTGAGATTACTTATCTGGACTTCTCCACCGAGTCACAGCCTTTCATTGATTGGTTGTAGCAGTTCCGACTGCAAAAGTTCTCTTCCCTTCCAAACTCACAGATGGTGAAGTTCCCGCAAAAGCGGCAAGTGCGCTGCACAGGCGGAAACAGATCCTCTGTGTCTGCAGTGTCTGACAAATCCCTTGGGGGAGTCCGTGACCTAGATCGGGCTCCGCTTCCGTCAGGAACGTTCAATGCGAAAGATGCCGGGTCTCCCAGGTCTGCCATGTCCGCCGGGTCTCCAATGTCTGCCATGTCCGTCAGGTCTCCCATGTCTGCCATGTCTGCCGGGTCTGGCATGTCTGCCGAGTCTGGCATGTCTGCCGGGTCTGGCATGTCTGCCGGGTCTGGCATGTCTGCCGGGTCTGGCATGTCTGCCGGGTCTGCCATGTCCGCGGCGGGGTCTGCCATGTGTGCCTGGTCTGCCATGTCTTCCGGGTCCACCCCAGCAGCCAAATCGCCTTCATCGATTGGATTGGCTCCAGTGGCTTGTTCCGCTTCATGATTCTCCTGTGTCTCTGTCTCGAACTGGGATTCCACTGGCTCTTGCTCCGGCGGCCCCGCAATTGTCTCCATGCTGAGCCAAAAGTTAAGTTGTTTGAACCAAGAGGAGCTGCAAAACACAAATCAACAATACAACATTGCTACACTACAATAGACACGGTTCAGGCTACGTGTACATTCATGTGAGGTTCATACACCTTCTAAGCTACAGTACTCAATCCATTCCTATTGTATTCTACCAACAGTTTCTTGTGACAATTTGCACAAGTCCATCTGTAAGAGATTCTGAGCCCTGTTCGGCCAATTTGGGCTCACACCTTTCGATGAACTTCTGCCCAATCAACTGAATGGCCACGACGTACCTTTTTTTATGCTTCTGGCACCAAACAGTTCACTCCAGAAGAAGTGGCATAATAACCTTATACTAATTTATACTATCTGTCCACCCTGATTTCATATATTAATTAAATTATATTATGATTTTAGATGATTTTAGGATGTCCCAAGACTTCCAACAGGTGAAATGTCAAGAGCTGTTCAGTGGAGTGAATACTCAAGAGCCTATTCTGCCCTTGAACAAAAACAAGGGAGCTTGAAACTGTCGTGGTTACACAAAGAAACATGCAGGCATTTGCTAGTCAGAGAGATTGGATAGCAAGGGGCCCAGACTCGAGGGAAGAAACGTGACGCTGCAAACATGCAAAAAACAAATTGGCCAGGAGATCAAAATCCATCTGTACTGAAAGGGAGAATACACGGACATATACGGACACAAAAACTGTGTCTGGATTCCAATCAAACTACACAGAAAAAACAAAAAATTACACACACCAACCAAGAACGATTGACCTGCTCTGTGTTGAATCCAGGTTGCGGCATCAACAAGATCTCGCATAGAGGATGGGTCGCCAGCCCATGAAAAAGTTGGACCTCAGAGTCACAAGATTGCAATTTTGCCCGAACATGCCCGAACACAATAATTACAAGGAAAATCACTTTGGAGACTTCATTGTGCTTCAACTAAAATCAAATGGGTGTTGACATGCACCTAGTGCAGTAGACTCAGTAGATGCTTGGAGTGTCTGCTAGCAACCCGCAAAGATCCGCAAAGTCACAGCGGATACAGCTGGGCATGATACCACTTCCAGTCGGATAACCCAACGCCTCCTCTGCCAATTCGAATGGAAAATTGACCTGTCGCGGTTTTGCAGCGGGTAAGCTTGCGGACCTTGTCCGCATCTTCGGCTGAGGTGGCCTGGTCCACGAACAAGTGCCGCTTCGACCACATGGCAGCCAAGCCGTTCAAGTCCCACGTCTTTTTCGCATTCATCACATAGCATGCCCATGCCAGGAGCCTCACCTGAGTTCGTGCCTTGTGGATATGTGTGGATTGGCAACGAAAAGAGGATCTAGTGACAGGTTTTGAAATGCGTCAAAATTGAAGTAGGGCTACATAATCAACAAAATACAACAACAAAATACGTGTTCTCCACAACTAGCAGAAACTGTAGCTTCTGGCAGTTTCTGAACTCAATTAAAGGACCGGATAACCCCAAAAGCCAACTTCTTCCAATAATCAGCAAAAGTGGTTGAAGCGGCACGGAGAAAGAAAAAAGGACAAAGGAGACGGTGGAGGATTGATCATTCTAAAAATTGTATGTGAAGAGTTGTGTGTGTGACAAAGTTGTGTGTGAAAGATTGTGCGTGTGACAAAGTTGTGTGTGATAAAGTTGTGTGTGAAAGATGTGGTGTGACAAAGAGGTGTGTGACAAAGTTGTGTGTGTGTGTGACAGGGAGGCGGCGGAGAGGGAGGAGGAGGACGAGGAGCGGGATACAGAATCAAAAACAAGAACCCCACACAAAGATGTGGGGAAAAAAGAGGAATTATCAATGGAACACAAGGGAAGCCGGAAAACATCCTGCATCTGCTGGGCCACACTGGGCTCCTGGCTGCTGGCGGAGCTTCATGTGCTTTTGGCGTCAACGACAAAAACTCCACGAAGCTGCAAAGCTCATCTGATTGGACATCTTGCCTCGCTGAGAGGGAAACTTCGAGGAGACACGACTTGGCTTCAGCATTTTTGCCCCCGGGAGGGGCTTCCAAAGGTCACAAACTGCTAAGCTGCTAGACCATGATCGTTTAAGAAGGTTTCGCGGTTTTGGGTTGTCCCAAATGAGGTTCAGGCATCGCAACTCGAAAGCAAAAGCCAAGCAAAGTATTGCCAAAGGCTGTTTTGCGTCGGAACCTTCCGAATCTTTCGTGTCGAACCGTCGATCGTTTGGAAAATTCAAAAGTCAAGTCAGTGGATGGCAACGAAGGACAATAATTAGCACAGTATCATGCTACAAAACCACCTGGAAGCAATGATGTACTGTGTATAAAGATGTGTAAAGATACATAAAGATACAATCTTTGACTCTGCCCACCAATTCTGTCATGGATTGCCATGGATTGTCATTTCGGAACATGCGAATCGAAGAGCAAATCTCAGGTGCACGCCCTTCGTGCTGCAAATATGCATCCACGAAGTCTACAGCACTGGTTCGAGAGACTGTAGGCACCCTGTGCAGCAAAAGCCTTGGGGCATCTCTTGGGCGCTGCACATTTCGTCCTAATTGATAAAGAAATCAAGTCGGGGTCATGGCTAAAACAAACAATTACATCTTCTACATTTTCATTATCTTCAAAGGCAGTTTCAAACTACATCAACAAGCTCAAGCCTTCGAGGGCAAAACTTCGCAACAATGCCAGCATCCAAAGCATGTGACTTTCATTCAATTTAGCGATCCTTGCAGAAGCAGAAGAAACATATGCCATCTTAAGCTCTGCGCTCAATCAAAGCACCTCTTGGCTCTGGACTCTCCAGTAAGGCCTTGAATGGTTCAAATCAAACACAACCGAAGGCTGAACCAAAAATGAGCAACGCCTGTACAAGCAAACAAACTCGCTACACTGGAGGCTTCCGTGTCTTGTCTGCCACTCATCTTAGAGACCTTTTGCCGCCACCTTGTGGAAAGATTTGCCAGTGCTTCCAAACATTTTGACACATTTTAGTCGTCTGATACGTGGACTACGTGGACTTGCTGACCATGGCCATGGCAGTCTTGGATATCTCGGAGCTGAGTACCGTCCTGCCTCCAAGGTGTCGCAAAGACGGAGACTGACAGACTCCTGGTTCCATCTGGTTCCATCACAGAGAAATGGTGATGCCACGTCAGCAGGTTGCGTCGTCTCACAGAAAAGAGTGTGAGGCGACTCTGAATTGATGTCAAACATCACACTTTGGAATTCTTTTTATGGCTCTGAAGGTCGCTCTCGATGTCATGGAGAAAAACCGCTTGACGGTGAACAAAATCCATCTGCTTGAATGACTGTGTGAAACCTCGACCTCATTCGCTTGACTCATCTAAGACATCTGGCATGAAACACATAGCACAATCCATTGAAAAATGTGGGTGGTATCCCTAAATCCACTGGTTTATTATCATTTACAGTATGCCCTTTGTTGAAATGCCATTTGGGCATAACCCATTTTCAGAAACACCCAAAAATACAGAGTCGTTGCTGGTATATTCCATTCTATATATCATACCCTCAGTATTACAATATATTCCTACTATATCCTACTATAACCCCATGGTTGTTGGGTAATCAACATGTCCGGAATATAAAAAGCAGTCGCGCCTCTCCAAAAAGCAGTCGGGATGCAACGAGCCAATCGCAAATGGCTGGTCGCCATCTTTCAGCATTGCCACGGGACTCCATGACCTGTGGCAAGAAAAAGGCAACTCCAAGACGGCGACACACGGTGTGTAGGATAATTAAATATAATTAATTTTATCCAATGGCAAATCCAGGTCATTGCTCTGCAATCTGCAATGCTATGCAATATCATTATTCAAATTATTCATCTGTCATGTTCATCTTTCATGTTTAAATCATGTACCATGTTTAAACCATGCTTAAGCCATGCGCAATTTCCTTGACCTGCTGGATCCGCAGGCGCGAGAGTCGTGTCTGCAGGAGAGCAACCTTCACCTCCGGGAAATGCAAACAACAAGCAAATGCCAAAGTTTTTCCTCCTTTTGAAAACACCATGCATTATAAATTGAAATGGAACACATTATTATAAAAAAGGGAAAACATGTATTACTGATTTTCGGCACAAATCATTCATTATAGTCATTCTGTTCATCTTATATTTACACGGCAACTCATGGTATCGACTGCCAAAATTGCTCGCAACATCACGTACCCATCGGTCATTTGCGCAACCTGCGAAGCCCCTGTAGGGCGGATCTGCTCCAGCCGCTCTCTGTCCTGCAAAATTAGTTCATTTGATGGTGATTTAATGGTGATCTCATGGGATTAAGCAACACATGTATTGCCTATATACAATATTATACAATCTGGCATATAATTTATATAATCATCCAGACACTGTTGGGGAAGTGTCCAAAAACCAGCCACAATCACCACATTTTCTTTCAAAACATTTTCAAACATTTTCAAACATTTTCTATAGTTCATTATCATAGTTCCATTATATAAAGACCAGCCACAACCACCTTTTCATCGCCGCTATCATCGCCTGTTTTCTATGCCATTCACAGCATTCACGCTCCTTGGAGTCGCTGCGGTTCGCGATGAGCACCACCCGCAGCTCGGAGCCCAACTTTGCCCTCACCCATTCGAAGAGCTCGTCCTTGTGCCTGGCTCCAGGAAAGCACAAATTGACAGATGATGAATAGTATGGATTCATGGATTCATGGATATACATATATGTGTTATATAGTTATAAGTTATATATATAATATAATATAATACAATACAATACAATACAATATAATATAATATAATATAATATATATTATATTATATAATATATTGTATTATATAATATTATATATTATATTATATTATATAATTGTATATATATATATACGTCTTACATACTAAATTGCAACATAATCGAAGTGCACCACAGGCATAAAGTGCACCACAGGCATCACATCTTTCATGACCTTTCGACATGAACTCTCCATGCCACTCCAAGTTCAGAAGGTGTCGTTGGAGCCAAGTAGCTCATCACTCAGCATGTGATACTCGTCCAGAATGAGCCTTACGCTTCTTGGAGGACGCAAGCAATTGCTGATCTGATAGGTGATGTCCCGGTTCGTTTGGGTATTTACACACACATATATATATAATTATATATATAAGTTGGCTCATAAGTAGTTTGACTGGGTTTTATGGACGTTTATGGCAAATATATCGGTTAGTCAGGGTACGATACTGTATAAACCAACTTATGTGTGGGCAGTCGGATTCGGCTCCGAGTGGAAATCCCTGGAATGTAGATTGATTGTGATTGATTGGGACACTTCAAGCTGGTTGTCTCATGACGTAGTCATCCTGCCAGCTTCCACCTGTTGAGCTGTTGAGGTTGTGGCAGTTTCTGTGATTGCCTTGGCTACCAGGGGGCGATAAATTGAGGCCATGCTTTTCTGCATTCTACGTCTTTTTAGTACGTAGCTTTGTAATGCCACAATATCCTAGAAGCAGCTTACTGTGCCCCCTTCCAAATTAAGTAAACAATTCCAACATTTTGCAATACTGAGCGCTGGTGCATGCTTTGTGAGGTCATAGTTCTTTGCAGGACCTCCCAGGCAAACATCCAGCCAGCTTCCTCTCCGGACAAGCTAGGAAAGAGTAGGCCTAATGATCCTAATGTGATGCATAAATGATAATTAAATGATGATAGCAAACCCAAATGGTGTCTGCAAACCAAAAAGATCTTCAACATGCGACCCTGCCGTGACCGAATCACGTGATTACCCCAGGTTTCAAGGCCTCTGCAAGTGCAGTTGTCACCAGGATGTCAGAAGAGCCATCAAACCTCAGCAAAAACTAAGAATCCAGGCAGCAATCTTCAAACTACTGACCATGCAGATTGCCAGTCTGGTCTGAAACCTGGATATTCAGAAGGAAATTGAATCTGCACAGATCCTCTGAGGCATAGACTCATGAATGTCGAACTGCATCTCTTCCTTCGACTCACAACAAATCGAACGCTGAAAGCAGCTCCCTCTCAGCATCTCTCTGCATCAGCCAGTGCAAAATCAATTAATATGCTACCAAGATGATCCAAGAATTGCCAAGCATATTAGAAACTCTTTGGAGCTACAATCCAACAAGCTGGAACAATCTCAAAAACAATCTGAGGCTTTTGGTATTTCTCCGTATTTCTCCATCAACATATATATATATAATATCATGATTGGCTTCATCCTTGGCTCATGTTGTAGCCGCGTCCTCCAGCCGTCCCCGAAGAGCTGACATGTGGTGGGTCTTCCCAGCGCCGGGTGCGGAGACCTCGGGACTATCAGGGATTCCTGTTCTCAACAGGATTGATATATGAACAGGAATTGGTACCGGTATCTCAACCATGAACACTGGCATATATGTATATAATATTGACCATTAATAAATTCTATTAATGTAATGGCATATGATATGATATGATATATATATACATGTATGTATATGTATAATAGCACATCCATTGCTCACTGATTTCCCCAAGGTCTAAGCAATTATTGGGAATGGGAGGAACGATCAGTCCAACAGTGGCAGGGAAGACCAGCATTGAATTCGTCGATTTCAATCGTCCCAAAGAATCCCAAACAACTAAGGCTGCAGCCAAAAGAATCATGCAGGGCAATGGGCCGAACAGTAAATCCTGGAGAGGAAGGGTTTCATCGGGAACTTCCGCAGGATTCCGGTGCCAGTCGTGTCACCTTCGCACCCATCCTCCAACTCCCTCCGAAAGTCTGGAGAGTAGGAAGATGCTGGTGGCCTAAGTCATCACCGGCAGTCCAAACTCACCAATTCACAGACCACTTTGAGAGACGTGCCATGGTCAAGTTCCATGTTTCTTTTGGATTTTTTGGCGCATGGTCATCTATTTCTTAATCATAATTTTTGTGATTTATATACAAGAGTGGCATGTAAATCTCCATTGATGGATAATGATTATTAACTACAGTATCCCTCAATATGGGCAACCTACAAGTTTTGACCATGTGGCACATGTCGATCTAAGCTGATCTGAGATTGCAGCGACTGCGAAAACATGGTGTCTTGATGCATAGCATCTGCTGCCAGGCTCCCGGTACTGCCTTGACAACTACCAGTACTCACTATGAGCAATCAAGGTTTGACACTCCTAGCAGTCACTGGCCACAGGCCCCGTGTATCTGGATGCTCAACCGGACTTGATTGCATCCTGAGGGAGGACTCATCCAGCTTCTCGAACCACAGGCTGACAAAACGTCCCTGAATCATGTCTTCACCAACCATTGCTCAGGGTTTATCGCGTACATAGGCTGGTATAGGCTGGTCTGAACATTGGTACCTCCGATCCCAATAGATTCTCGTTTTCACCTTTAAAATAGATACAATATGATGTAGTAAAGTTGGGGGTATTCCCCTTTTTAAGACACCCCATGTATGTATTCTCGGGTTGGTGTCCTGAATCCATCTGAATCCAAGATCCGCACTGTCTGGGGCAAAGTTCTTGGCGAAGAAGGCAAGCAAGCGCCGAGAATCCTTGCTGGATGTAGGTCACGCTTCACTAACTAGACAAAATGATACAAAATGTTCATCATGCATTCAAGAAATCTTTAGAACGCCTGATGCAGTATGTTATGTAATGTTATGTCGGACTCTACATTCTCCAAATTATCTGCAAATTTGAATGAATTCAGAATTCACTACAATATTACTGTTCTGAGTGGACTCCGCATGTGCCAAGGGAGCTTCAACTTTGCGAAGAGCCACTCAGAGCAAGCTGCTGAAGCTGCGCCTGAAGCTCTTCCGCTGGCTGCGTCCGCGCAGCGTACGACACGAAGTGGCCTCAAAGAAACATCTCAAACGGACAAGTCTCTGGAAAATCTTGTGATTCCAACTGTTGATGCTGCGGTTGAAGCCCGTACTTGGCCGTACTTGAGAAACCTCCAGCTTCTTCAAATCATCCATACTCCTTACCTTGGCAGTACACTGCTAAAGCATGCTAAAGCGTCTGAGTAAAGGCACCTTTTCACTTTCACAATTGTCAAGAAGGCATTGGCACTTCCAAGGATCAGGCGGAGTGCAAAGGATTTGCAGGAGCGAAGCGGAAATTACACCGATCACCTTCACAAACTGCAAGCTTCCATGCTTCGCCTATCTTAGCCTGTAATCTTAGGACAGTTTCTGTTGCTTTGACTCTGGAGGCTTCGGAGCTCTTCCGAGGATTTCACGATTCTCCGGAAAGTTAAAGGATGTATCAACTCCTCTGCACAAGGTGAACAAAGACTTCCTGGGTCGGATCAAAGGTCCCTACAATGGTGCCCCATGGTGCCCCCACAGCGTTTGTGTCAACCAACACTCTCCTTCAAGGTATACGAATCGCCATGGATGCAAACCTTAGGGATCAGCTTCTGAAGTCATTGACCTGCACCTCACATGTGGTGTGCACATGTTCTAAACCTGAGAACTCGCGTGAATTTGAAATTGTGGAGCTTGAAATATGATCAAATATACATCAAACAGATTGAAACATCATCACTATAGTTTTGGAGAGGATTTGTACACATGTACAAACAAATACGATTCCTTGTACTTATGGAGTACAAATACGCATCCAGCATTGGGGCCCTGAATCTGCTCCCCGGCACCGGAATCTTCCAGATTCTTAAGCCCCTTAAGCCCCTGGCGAGTATATTCAGCAAGCCACTTAAGGAGGATATCATCCAACTTCTTCAAGCCCTTCACCTCAGTGGATCTTTGGATAACTATCTGTCGAGTCTGTCACCCTGGGCGGTGACCCCTCTGAGGTCAAAGCGTAGGTGAAGCAACAGTAGCTTGAAAAATGAGAGATGATGTCCAAGTACATGGCACCTGATTGAAGCTAGAAATAGCCAAAAACGCCGAACCACTCGAACCACTCCGGGTAAGTAGCAAAAACATGTAAAAACGCTCGTGTGTGTGTGTGTACAGTATATATATTATATATATGTATATAATATTATATAATTATATATGTATATATATAATTTATATAATATATAAAAGGCTGCCCGAGCTTGCCAAACATGCGACCCAAAGCTGCAGGATACAGAAACATTGGCAACAGAGTCTGACATTGCATTTCAGTGCTGCAGATATCTCACCTCTGTCGGTCGTTCACGATTTAAATGCTAAGCTCCGCGGCTGTTGTCCAGACTTCGTTGCCACACCTCTCTTTCAAAGTCCCGCACTGCAACACGCAGTCCAAGCTCTTGAATCCTGCACAAGCAGAAACACACACACACACCTTTAAACACTGAAATGGTGGTGCCTTCAAAAATCTTGTGGCATTGTATCCGTTCAATTCCAGAGGCAGCCTCGTCTGCTCTACCCTCTTTCATCCTCTTCCCCTCTTACTATGACGTGATAGTTGCGAGTCTGCGAGTCTTCAAACGCTCAGTTTGGAACCAGAAGCCATTCAACACACCTTGAGTCATTTTCTGGATGTTCCTTATGAAATCACAATAACAGGGGGCCTCCAAAAACCAATGGCTTTCCTATTAAACATCAATAACACATTGGTTTAACAAATTATTATGTATAAACAGAACATCAAATCATATTGTGATGTTTAACACATATTGTTTCCCAAAATCATCCAAACCAAATTTTGGGTTTAGAAATGTTTATAAACATCCAAATCATATGTATAAAACTGTATAAACATACCAGATTTAAAAATACAAATGTTTGGATGAAAAAATGGGTTTGCCCGGCACCTCTGCAAGGTGCCAGGCTTCACAACGTAGACACCGTAGACCTTGGAGAAACCATTTGAAAGACGGTTATGATATCTTATGAGTGATTAGTGATTAGTATTGATTGTCCCAATTTTTATGGATGATAGATGATCTATAGATTGTTTGTAGATGATTTGGGTATAGCTAAATTCATATGGTAGCTGTAAAATTTGATGCGCAATACTGCACATGTCCAGAATCGTTTTTCTGGGTTTTAATTCTTGTCCCATATGGATTTGAGTAGGATTTTCCCTTTAATAACATTTATAAACATCCAGCTATTGGGGTCGCCCATGACTTGGGAAACCCCCAAGTCATGACCTGTTGATGGTTTGCTTCAGAATCTGGAGATATCTGGAGACAAAGCTCCGGGCATCGCTTTTGCGCTCCACGAAGTGCTTCACCTCTTCGGGGATGTGCCAGGCCTTGACAAGCTGCGTCGAGCTGCGTCTTTTCGGTCTGTGCTCTGGCCAACTTTTAGAAATTGATGTAACACAGATAGTATGGACTCTGGACTGTCTATATTATATAAACAACATATAATATATAATATTCTATACATGAATTTACATGATCTTTGTGAATGGCTTCGGGACAACTATGCCTCCTCAACAACCCATCACCATGGACACAATGTCGTTGTGCTGGGCACTTACTACTAGCTAGCTCTACTGTGTCTTGTAAACAGCTCAATGAAGCCATCAAGTTTCAGCCTTCTTCAAATAGTCCTGACATTATCTATGTTACGTTGTGTTTACGTTCATTGTTGTTCGTGCATCATAGCGGACCAAGGATAAAAATTGACCAATCAAAACAATCAAAACAATCAAAAAAACATTATCGTTTCACTAAATGCGATCCCTACTTGGACCATGCTGGACCCTTCTAGGCTTCCCAGCATTCATGAGCACACTGCGGAGGAAGAGTGCAGCATCCGAGCCAGCAGGACCTGAAGAACGTGGGGCGCCTGAGAAGAAACGTTGAGCATCGTTGAGCAATGTTGAGCATACTTTTCCTGGTGCGTCTTCTCTCAAATGTCAACAAAACAACTTTCTATAATTTCTATACATACTTTTAATTTTACATACTATTTTTATGCCAGAGTTCCAGCACTTTTCCAAAGCCTGTGACCCAATGGGAGCTGAAATCAATGAGCTCTCAAAGTTCTTATTCCGAGACTATCACAACAGCGGCAAAGGCTGAATGCCATAATAGCCAGGTTAACATGATTGGGCTCCTGGATGCAACACACAAAGCGCACACTTATCTTGTCCATATGCCCCCCTGCTTCAACACATCAGCATTTGAGGTGCTATCCGCATCCATGCTATTCTTGCAAACTGAACTTCCATGTCCACCAAAACAAGGAGCCCAGCGACAACTTGTAAATCTTCACATACGTTCTTGCTGCCACAATCACAGCCGCAATCCACATTAGAACCTGTCGAATCTGTCCAATCTGTCACTGCGTTCCAGTCGAGTCCTGGTATGGTGCCACGGCCTTGGCGAAATCACCAGTGCCTATGGCATAGCCATGACTGTGGTGCTGAGGATTCTGAGCCCTTGGTTCATCTTGGTTCATCTTGGTTCATCTTGGTTCATCTTGGTTCATCTTGGTTCATCTTGGTTCACTTAGCTCTGAGCCACCATTCCCATCCTTTCGCCTTGGAGACTGCAGATTTACAGTATATTTTTTTATGGAAAGAGTTGAAATGCCTTGAAACTTAGAGCTTTTGGGCACCCACCGGTGCATGTATGAATATTAGTGAGTGACAAACTTTGGCAAACCTAGCAATTGTTGCACTCAAATTCATCTCTCGTTCCTTTCAAGTTCCGGATCATACGAGTATCTTCGCTTTCTTGATGGGGTGTGCCTCCAAATTTGCTGCAAAAAACAATCCGCTCAATTTCGTGCCGCCATTACATGAGTTCATTTGATTGAGTGATGCTTGCATTCAAATTCAATGGCTTTCGCCTACGCTGTCTTCGCCCAGTTTCTTAGCTTGGAGGTGGCTGCGTTGTTGGAGAAAAGGATTGCACATTCTTTTCATACTTTTTCAGTCATTTTCCACCTCTCCTTTGATGGCGATACACAGCAATTCAGTCGCTGCTCTTGGCCCAGTGGCAACATCTGAGAATCCACGTCTTGGTGTCGCTGGGCAAAGGTGACCTGGGTTGTGAAATCCGTGGGTCCGGTGGATCCATTTCTCTATCTGATTCCTTAAGGCTGATTCCATGCTCTCTTAGTGGTTCTTGTGTCTGCGACTTGCTGCTAAAAAGATCCAAAAAGTAGGAATGCTGTGGAATTTGCTGCGGAGTTTGTTCGAAATCTAGCGATGTCTTGCTGCTAGGCTGCCGCAGAACGTCCACAATCCATGGCAAGAACTTCATGCGAAGGCTGCGCACCAACCTGAAGACGGCAGAAAACATGAGAGGATCGTTCCTTGGAGGTATGCGCAATCAAATGCAAGTTCGAAATATTTCGAAATAGTTCAAAGATGTTCAAAACTTGAAGATCGAATAAACGAATATGGAATTAGAGGCTTGCACATAGGCCATCGCAAACACTGCTGTTCGACCCCGTGAATTGATAGATCAGTGCGAGCAACTTACTGCAAAGTAGATGGAAGACATCGGAAAACGTAATTGCAAGCAACGCATTTTCATACATTTTCTAGTTTTGGACTGGGATCTGAAATGCACGCTGAAATTGCAAGTTGGTTTGACCAAACCGGGGCCAGTTGAGAATATCCGTCGAAACGACTGAGCTGAGAACTGCAAACCACCGTCCGAACCTAGCAAAATTATGCAAAATTCCCATCTCTAGAAATGTTTCCCCAATCATGAGCAAGCAAAAGGTGAGGCGGACATTTTGCAACAAAACGGTTCTAGATCGTTTTCTTGCTGCGTCAAATCTTCAGCAACACATGTGGGCTAGTGTCACTAGTGCTGATATAGAAAGATGTGAATGTTAGATGGCATGATGATAGGCGGCAAATTGTATCTTTTATCGGCAACTTTCAAATCTTTGAAATATTCAACACACACACACACAATCAGGTTTTCCTCCCATTCCCCCGATCATAGCAGTGACATCCACCTTAAATGGGATAAATGAATCCAATACCTTGGGGTATAACTCGGTATAGCCGGTATAACATGGTATAACTATAATTTCATTAACTATATTATAATTTTCATGGGAAGTCGCTCCAGAGTCTGGCCTGAGTGCGAAGTCGTTGCATCCTTGAGGAGCAGTCACTACAGTAGTCACGTTTTCTTTGGGAAACCTTTGAAAGAACAAGTTTGGACATTTGTTCACTATCTCCTAACATGTTTAAAGTTGTTATAAGGATATTTTCAAGATTTGAACACATGAAATAATGTGAAATAAACATAGAAACACCTTGAGGCACTGCATGGATCATGGCTGCCATGGCCTCCAGAAGCTCTGCCAAGACATTTTTGTGCACCAAATATCCGAGGCATAGCCCATCTGAAGATGAATAGCTCACCTGGAAGTCGGAAAGACTTTTCCATCTTCCGAAAAATCATCAACTATCATCAATATGTGTTTAATCTTTTCCTTGTACCAAAATTCAAAATGGTTTGTTCGCAGTTATTGGCATCGTTTTGGTCAACATTCAAGTGTCAAGAACACCTGTATGAGGCCAGGGACCTTCAGTCGTTGGCGATCCAGCTGGATGTAGTACAGCGGAAGATCCTGCGCATGAGATAGGACGACGCTGTTTGTGGACCAATCAAAACAACTTAACACTAGAAATGAATGGAAACACAGGAAATGACTGACTGATATTCTTGAATTTCAGTGGATTCAATCATGAGCTCTGTACCTTTCGTACCCCAGACAGCAACAAGGCAAAGTATGGCACAATGCGGAAAAACATGAACAACCACACCATCCAAAGAAACCTATGAAAGAAACATAAGCATCAGAAACTGGATCGAAAGATCTTGACGATCTTTGAGCGACATCTACTTACAATTAATCACATCTATATGATATCATCTAATATATACTGCAATGCATTTGGCAATTTGGCAACAACCGAGTTCTTCTTGCACTTTGGAGCATCTTTCCTCCCACATTAAGAGAATGGGTCCAATTCCTAATTCGGCAATGACACCCCTGGACACCCTGACGCCTCATCGTAGAAGGTCATCACAGCATGTTTGCTGCTGAGAGGGCGGCCATGTCCAACTTGCCTCGCTGCCGTCAACTCTTTCACTACTCACAACGATTTCATCAATTCCTCGTTCGACTTCATGATGTTCATTTGAAAGGGCTTACGAAAATGCTCGTTGCAACGTCTGGGTCAAAACCTATTACACCTGTATTTCGGGGGTTCTTCACATCCATAAATAATAAATCATGATAAATCCCAGCTATCTTGATGTTCTCATTAAAGTACCAGGGTTTTGACTCATACCCTCTGCATCCGCCGACCTTTCGAAGAGTATACTCCCAGCTGCGGGGTCTCTGTCCATCGGCCTCTGTACGAGCCATCGGCTGATAGATCTGGCAGTCTGTTGGAAGTGAAAACCACTGAGTTCGATACGTGTCGACGTAGACCTTCCGAACGAATCGAACATCATACATCATCATACATCCAAATTCCATGCGTATTCAGTTTTCAGACTTTGAAGTTGTAGTTTGCAATGCCAGGATCGAAGAAGACCTTTAATCCATAGCCTTCTGAATTTCAATTCTCGATTGAAGAAGTTTTGTTTCAGATCTTCAATCTTCAATTCTGGGTTGAAGAAGTTGCTCCAAGCCATTATTATTCAATCCTCAATCCTGGCTGGGAGGATGTCATTTGCAAACATTTGCAAAACGCCCCTGCAGACATTTCCCACTAATGTTGTATAGGATACTTTGTTGTATGATGTGTCCTTGATGTACATATATCATTAACTAGAATAATGTACTTTAATCATAAATGAAATACTGTAATATATTTATAGACAAAGATATTATAATGTATCCATATATATATAATATAATGTCATAAGTTAAATAAATAACTGCAATATATATAATATAATCAATATACGTATATTAAACACAATTAAATTATATGATACATGTTCGATAGCATCAGCCCCCAAATTTAGCTGACCAACTTCCAGGCCTTATCAGCCTTTGCCTGGGACACAAAGCTCCGCCGTTGCGGAGACGTCGAACCTGGTCCAACCGCGGCGATGGATCCAACGGTGCTGCATGGTGCTGCTCAAGCTGCTAAGGTGTTGACCATTCTTCTCTGCCTCGGTCCAAAGATGTCCAAAATTGTGCTTTTTGAAGAGTTTGGGATAGTTTATTGGATAGTTTGGGCATGTTTTTAATTCTTTTTAAGATGGGGTTGATGATGGTTGATGCGACGATCAAGCATAGTGAAGCTAGGGCCTAGTGATCCTAGTGTTTGGAGATGGCATTTCCTTTGGAGGGTTTCTTTTACTCTTCAACTGCCGCACACTGCTTTGATACGCAATCGTAACCGCACCCATGGCTCTTGGTTCCCAGCAGGACGGGGTGCATCATCTTCAGAATCCGACAAGTGCTGCACAGTTGGCCTAAGGTGCCAGAATTTCCAAGGAATTTCCGAATTTCCAGTGGAACTTTTGGACTTTCACCCATTCTCAGCTGGTTTCAACATGTTTCAACATGTTTTAACCCGTTGAACGTTCTGGACTGAGGCTTGGGTGCGTGCGGCTGGCGACAGTCAAGCTGAGCGTGGTAGATGCTTTGGAGAATTGCAACCTGCACTTTTGGATCTCCGTGGAGGCGCAACTCCAACACTCAAAACTTTTCACAAGCAGAATGTCATCCAACTATTGATATTGATGATATCCTGTACTTGTTATGCTCAGCACATTGAAGGAACAAGACCTTTCCGCGTGTTGCTTTCTGTGAACAAGTATGCAGCTCATCTGATTCGGTGTGAATGATGCAGGCATTCAACAGAAACAGCTGCCCTGGCAACAGAAGCAAACATGCAACTCCACTCTCCCGTGCCACTGCGTCATCTTCCTTGAGGCTTTGACTCCGCGCTTCGCGAAACCTGATTTTGTCACCTGTGATAACGCAAACAACGGTCAACGAGAGCCAAAGCTGGAAAAAGCTATCAACACAGATCAACAAATGGATTTCAGCAGCAGCTTGCCGCCAAGTCACATGGATGTGTTTTGCCAAACACCTCTCTCGTGGAAGGTGCTCGCCACGATAGCATGCCTGAGATTAGACATTCTGCTTAGACAGGAGCCCCATCAAATGACAAGTCATGACTTTGGAACTGCCAGGAAGCAGTGCAGATCACTGCAGTTAATTTCCATTTCCAAGATTTGCAAGTCAGCTCCCTGTTGAAACAGCCTGTTGAAACAGCTTCAGAATGCCATGGAACTGGAACACAGGCCCGCCTCAAGCATCAGCTCAAGCTGTGTCCATGCCTGGGTCGTCATAGGCCTCGGGAATGGGATCCATGATCTAGTGGGATCTGGGCAGAAGACTCGTCAGTATGTGTGATCATCTCCTTTAATCCTCTATCCGACATACATAAAATATCATGAAATTCATACCTCTCACAGATCCAGTTCTCTTTGCTTTCGATCCAATACCCCCTCAACACGAAGAACAAAGCAACAGAGAAAAACATGTGAGTCGTATCTGCTAGGGCATAAGGCTGTATCTAGACGCGTCACACATGATGCTAGTCGCAGCTGTGGGCATATGTGCTATGCAAGCAGCAAGTATTTACGTACACACACTTGTCCAACATGATGACATGGGGGATTTCATAAAATCGGGGTATCCATCTAAAAATGGAGTTTCCATATGTTTCCATTGTAAAACCATTTTTTTTGGGGGGTACCCCCGTGACAATTCGGAACCGCTGAAGCGATCTCTGCTGGGCTCTGCTGGGCTCCCTGGCGATCCAACGATTCCAGCCTTTGACCCAATGGGCACCAGCAAGCGCTGGAGGACCTGAAGCATCTGCGATCACTGACACTTTCCCAAATATATATAGATATATATGTATAACAATGAATATTATATATACATAGATAGATATATTATTATGTTTAACATTATTTATCAAATTATGATGATCAATCATAAAACTTGGATGTACCCTTTTTACAGATAAACCCATCGGTGTTCCGTTGTGAGCACAGAAAGTCTTCAAACATTGGTCTCTTTTAGCCTGAGGCATTCGCCCGGCCCAGACTCGACAGAGAATGCGGTTCCTCTTGATGAACGAAGGGCACCTGCATCGTGGCCTTGGTGTCGTCCCCTTCGCCAAGAACGAAAGAGGCACGGCACGGGGCTCCAACCCATCGGCGCAGCGACTCTTCACGAATCAAACCACCCAAGTCGTCGCCTGGGCTGCTACGGCTGCCTCTTGGCACGGCCCATGGCCTTCTCTAAAGAATCCTGGCTGGACAAACACATACCGATAGTGGATGATAGTGGTTTAGTATGATAAGCTCTGCTGTGATTGGACCACCTACGAGCATACTGCAAACATTGATAAACATGAGAAACATATATTAACATATATTAACATATATTAACATGTATTAACATATATTAACATGGGAAGTTTCGAATTTGAAGAAACACTCCTGAAATGAAAGGCTTCTTGGGATATTCATGGATATTCGGAGATCTCTTGAAAGGTCGTGAAAGCTATCACTAAGCCTATGGCATGCGAGCTGGGCTTGAGACGTTGTTGGGATTTCATCTTCCAAAGAATTCGGAGCAAGACTTCAGCCAGAAATCGCCTCAGAAAATCAAGGTGTCCACAGTGTCCACAGACACTTCCAGCGACAAGGTACATCTTTATCACTTTTTTTTTCATTTTGTTCTAGGGTCACGGCTCATTCTGCTGATACTGCTGCAGTTTGCCTAGGATGTGGGTCAAAATCGAGATGCCCAAGTGTCCAAACCAAAGGTAAATGGAATGGAGCAGGAAAATGTGGAATAGAGATGGAATTGAGCCTGATTCATGCGTAAGCAGGCATTTTAATGTGTTTTTCAGGGACATAGAGGGAGTAAATAGTTATATATGATTATATGTATGTATATATATATATATTATACGTATGTATATATGAGACATACCTCTTGCGGAGGCCGCAGCCGCCGCTTGGTCAGACAGACATTTTCATGATGAACAAAACTGCTGGACAGGCACAACAGCAACATACTGAAAGCCAACATTTTCTATAATTTTCCTCCAATAAGGTGACAAACGTCATACACATGCTCAAAATAACACAAAATCAACCCTGGCAGACCTGCAGAACTCACATGATTCGCATTCATCTAAGGTAAAGGACGAACTTCGGCAACCAGCTCTTCGTCACTTTCCGGCAAGTCCTGCCCCGAGCTCAAACCATATTACATGTTTCACTTCCCACCTGTGGTATATTCATTGTTTGCATGCCTGCTCCTCTCTATGTGTTTCCGAATATGCCGAATATGTGGCTATTGCTTGCAACAGTCCACATTCATGAACATCATGAATATCATCACAGAATCATGACTGGAAAACACATTTGCTGTTTGAACAACAATATTGTATTGAAGAACAATCACAGTCGAAACACAGGTAAACGGATGGCAATTGGAAACGGACTGAACGCTCCTGCATAGAAACTTGCTGCTCAACCTGCCAGGATTGCGAGGTACCATGCCGATACCAAGGCGATCAGCGCTGTCCGATGTCCGATGCATCAGTATGGCATCAGTGAATATGAGTAAACTTGAGTGAATATCATGGACACTTTGTCACAGCTCCTTTACCTTCCGGATCCTTCCGGGAATCAAACATGGCACATCATGGCACTGAAAAACACTGAACAATATTGAAAAAACACATTAAAAAAAACCATCCATTTAGTTCGATGATTGTCCCAACATGTCCCAACTATGATTCTAAAGGCCCTTCGAGGCGATTTCCCCATGTTGGATTCCCGGAGGGCCGCATGGCCATCATGGCCGTGGCCTTGTTGGAGGTTGCGCTCAGTTCCATTAAGGCCTTCTCCACAGCCAGACCTCCATTGAAGCTGCGCCCAAATCATGCAGCATTTTATGGGCAGATCATGAGAATATTATTGGGGATATCATGGGATATCATTGATATAATGGGAATTAATGGGATATATTTCAATGGGACAATTTGATATCATATCAACAGTTTCTTTTCTCAGCCGCTGCTTGTGACAGCACAAAATGAGCAAAACAAACATGTTTCATGCTCTGGTCAGAGTCAGTTTGTGATCACAGCGAGGCACAGGTGCCCCACCGTCATTCTTCTGCTGGGTTCCAAGACACATCCTTGGAAGGTGTCAATTCGGGGCCGATCACTTAGGAACAACACTATGCTCCAAAGAGATTTCAAAAGAAACTGAAAGGTTGTCCACCCCCAAAGTATACGAGGTCACAAGTTTCTACCCTCTTGCGGGCGAGAATCTGCCATGCAACACTGACCTCAGGTGAGAAGAACCAGCAACACCCGAACATTGCTCAAGTTTTCTGTGCTTGTTCGGTGTCTTGGATGCTGTCTTGATTCGGGCTCAAGCGAGAAGTTGCAACACCCGCAGTGCTTCCGGACCTAAATGGTGCCCGGTTTGGTCCACTGCGCAAAACGACCCCGGTACGATGAGGAAAACCATGGAAAACATGAAAAACACTGGAAATTACTTTACTTCGAGTGATCCCCGCCCTGACACACTATTCTGGCATGGTTTCTGACATACCATCTGGAAGTATAATATATATATATATATATATATGTATATATGTATATATGTATATATGTATATATGTATATATGTATATATGTATATATGTATATGTATATATACACACACACTCTGACATTCTATCTGACATTCTTTCTGGCCTTCTATCTGGCATCTATTCTGACATTCTTTCTAGCATTCTATTTGACATATATTCTGACATCCTTTCTGGCATTCTATCTGACATTCTTTCTGGCATTCTATCTAGCATCTTTTGAGGCATTCATTCTGGCCTACTATCTGGCATCTATTCTGACATTCTATCTAGCATTCTATTTGGCATATATTCTGACTTTCTTTCTGGCATTCTATCTGACTTTCTTTCTGGCATTCTATCTAGCATCTTTTCAGGCATTCATTCTGGCCTTCTATCTGGCATCTATTCTGACATTCTATCTAGCATTCTATTTGACATATATTCTGACATTCTGTTTGGCATTCTATCTGGCATTCTGGCATTCTCTCTGACATGAGTTCGGGTCCAGGCACCGTCCACTGCATCCTGAGCTCGCTATATAGAGATCAGATCCCCCAGTCACCAGGAGCTGGCAGAAGGAGAAGGCAGAGAGGAGGCGGAGATAAGGACAAGAGCCAGCTCAGCTGAACAAACGGCAAGCGGGCGACCCGAAAACACATTTGATGAATATTTTAATTATTGCAGAAACCAAGCCTCTTTTACTGCGAACGAGCCATGCTTAATGCGTTGTACAGGCTTCCACATCTGAGGAGCTTGCTGAAACTGAGGTTCACGAGCTTGTGCGAATGGCAAAGTGGCCACAACTTGGCAGCGGTTTGATCAGAGCATATTTTTGAGGTATCTAGCACTCATCATCGTGCAGTTGACCCTGCAATGCTTTTGACCATTTGTTAAACTTTGTTAAAGGATTGAACTACAAAGTGTCCCGATGTGTCCCAGAGTTCGCCAGGCGCAAATTAGGCAATGCACTGGCACCTGGAGCATAGCTAGTGAACATGACTGAGGCCGCTGGCCAAGTAACGACGAGACCTGCACAACATTCCCACGGCGCGCACGGTAAATCATTATTCAATATTAGTCATTTTTCTCCAATTCTGTGTTCTTCAAATCATTGTGATAAGCACAAGAATTACCGGTCTGACTCTAGTTGATTCGCTTCCAGCTCTAAAAAGCAACAGGTCCAGCAATGTCTGTAGCCTCAAGGTCAAATCACCCAACGTCACGGGTGGCTCCGAGGGGTCTCTGGAAGTAGGAAAGACCATGACCCAAGACCTACAGTGAGTTGCAGCGACGCAGCAATGTCCATGGAATTTCAGAAGGCATCTCGGTGCTTGTGCTGATGTGAAACTGGTTGAGGCATTTATGTCTTGGTCCTGGTCCTTCTGCTAAATGCTTCATCTTGGCTGAAGGCTCTTGTTCTTATTTGGAGGTTTCCAATCCATGGGGGTACCCCCAAATCATCCATTTTAATAGGAGTTTCCATGAAATAAACCATCCAGCTATTGGGGTACCCCCATGACTTCGGAACCACCCTGAGGTCTTGGCTGATCTTCCGCCTTGCGCAAGTAAGACCCATCCATGGCCAAGACTGGGCTGGGTGCCTGGTCAATGAACTGCCACGCCTTGGTCCAAGGGAGTCGAAACTCCTCTGAGATGTTCAAACGACAGTGAAGTCACAGTGAAGTCAGTGAAGGTTTTACGCCCAAATTCAGCACAACTTATAACTTATCATAACTTATCAAATTTATATTGTATTTTCTTGTACCAGAATGCAATGTTTTTTCTCTACAATCTATGTCGCAGGTAGTTCTTCAAGCTGCAATATCAGCATAAACCCAAGGACCCATTTTCTCTTTGGTGACCCAAACGGATACTATTAGAGTTTCTAGCACTGAAGCCAAACCACCCACTCTAGAGGCAAGGCTGTCACTCCAAAGAATATGCACACAAATCCAAAGAATCTGAGATGGTGCTCAAGACTCGCCTCTGCATTTGTTGCAAACGCCTTCCAAACTTGGTCCCCTTGGTCCGAGTGCTCATCTATGCCATCAATCGTCCTGGCAGTTTCAGTCTACCCCTTTCTACTAAATCAGCTTGCATGCACACAGGTCAAAGTGATCTGTAAACATGTGAGGTACAAGGGAATGCTGAGGACCCAGTGGGGAAGACCTAATCATATATGCAATAATATACTATCAAGGCTCCAGATGGCTCAAGTGAACCATCTGCTTCCAACTGTCCAGGCTTCATATATACAGCTTTGGTAAATATATAAATGTTTGACCAGCACTTCACTGCAAGAAAGCCATTGGTCCTTGCTTTGCTCACTGAACTCCTGAAATTCAACGTTTTCTGAAACTGCACTAAAATGGGATGGATCAGCAATGAAGACTTCATATTTAATTCTAATTCATTATTAACATGTAAAATATAGAATCGACTTTTCTAGTTCATGTTCTGTTCCGAATTCATGTGAAGTGCAATATCATGCTCGGCACTGCCTTATTTGATCTTATTTGATATCAATTGAATCCTTTCGAAAAGTTCCTCCACTGAGTTTCTGACAGTCGGAAGAATCCCTGGCTCTTTGAAGAATGCCACAAGACAGGTTCCAGTCTGGCGACACATTACGACACAAGGCTTACTGCTTTGCAGCGACGTGCTTCGCCATGTTGCACTTTGGTCTAGCTCTTCCTGGCTCTAGAGTCATCTTGGCCGAACTTTTCAAGGTTTCCATTGTTGCTTTCTTCCCTCGGGCCGTGTTTACCTCAAATATCGTCAAATATCGTCAAACTATATAAAACCTTCTAAGCAAACGGTATCATTCCATGTCATTCCAATTGTTTTCCAAGGGTTCGATGTCATTCCGTCTCCCTTTTGTAAGGTTCGGACCCTGGTCGCACTCGAAGTGCGGCGTGTAGATACTGTGCTGGCCTTAAAGGAAGCAAGGTCGCTACACTTTTTTTACACAGCGACTTGTGAACAAAGTTCCATATCAACAACCTCAAAGGATGGCATGCAGCACTTGTCGCCTTGCACGCATCCAAATCACTGCACATCTGAAATCGAGAACTTCATAGTGCTTCTTTGCAAGCTTAGCTCACGGCTCAGACACAATTTGGACCACATCGCCAGCAGAGATTACAGGACATGTTCCTTTCCAATCTGATGCATTCAAGCTTCGCAAGTCTGGCCAATCAAATCGGCCATATGTGCGAGTGCTGGAACCAATGCTGCGTCCATCGCTGCCAACTTCTGCAAAAAATGCAGGGCTGCCTTCGTCCAATTGCAAGTCGTGCCGTGCAGCAGCCTCATCTGGCAGGTCTGCGGACAAATCCTCACGCTTCCGAAGATTTCCAGCTGGCAACGAGCAAAGCAACTGCATGTTGCTTTGCAACAAGTAAGGTGGACTGACGTCAAAATCTTGAGCAAACAATTCTCCAACAAATTGGGTCTTCTCCAAATGCCTTTGGAAGGTGACTTTCCGCAACTGCAGTCTTTGGATGTTTGCAATGCGGTCGCACACCATTGCAAAGCGGGGAATGCGACACTTGACGCTGCCAGAAGCTTTGTCGCGTCGACCATAGTAGTTTTCGTGCAGCCATCGCACTTCCTCCATGGTCTGGGCACTGACAGGCAAGTTATATGTTTGATATGCCTTTGCCAAAGCCTCCATCTCTAAACCCTCGTTCTCGGACGTCAGGCCGTGTAGCAAGAAGAAGGCATCGAAAAGAGCTGCCACGTTTGCATCTGGAGGCTCAAATCCTTCTTGCTCCTCTGCTAGCGCACTTACCAGCTGCTCAAAGAAGTGCCCAATCTTCATGGGCGTTTCGGATGGAACTGTGCTTGTTCGAAGCAGAAGCACAAAATCTGCCAGAACAGTAACACGAGTCACCAATTGCAGAGTGTCAAACTTCCCGTCCGCCAAAGCAATGACCAATGCAGGTTCTTTTGCACACAAGTCACGTCGGAGTGCAGCACCAACTGCTTTGGAAATCGCCGCCAAAGCTGTCTCCAATCGTTTTCCTGATTGCAAACCTGAATCTGCTGACTCAATAACCAAATCTTCTGTTTCAAACGGCTCTGGATGAGGCAATTTGAAATGCAGCAGTAACATGTTGAGCCATTGCGCAGTGAGAACTGCTGAATCACGCGTTCGCGCCAAAATCGGAACATCTCTTGCACCATCATCGATCCACCGTACGTCGATGTCTGTGGGCAAGGGACCGCGCACATACATCCTGCGCAGTGAGGCGGGCCCTGTTCTGCTGTATGCTTCATGAACATCATCCCAAATTAACTTGAAATCGGCCTGGTCCTCTGATCGAACGCACTGAACGAGATCTTGATAGGACATACCAGCTGCCTTGAACCAGCATAAAATACATCCAGCTACGAATTGTCTTTGATGATCTGCTCCATGATCGAAATAAACTTGCAAATCTGGGTTGCTGGACCGAAGGGCCAGGAACAGCCCAAGGTTGAAGCGGACACTGGCCTCGGAAATGCCTGAGTTGACCCGCGGATAGAAGTCATGTGCGGCCGTGTCCAGGGAAGGTGCCACTGATCCATGGCACCTTCTTAGCAATTGATGACGCAGTGAACTTGGCAGTGCGCGAGCGTGCCAGCGGATGCAATAAGGCGGATATTCCTCTTGATCTTCCTGTCCAAGCAGCAGGGTCCGCACCTTGTCAGCTGCACAACTTTGCACATCAATCAAAGCATGATTATCCTGAGGGATCAGTTACATCAGATACTTTTGCCTTGCAAAACCCGAATGATACCAAAATTTTAACGCTTGGATACTCTAAAGGTGAACAATAGATGACCGTCTTTCGCCGCCAAAAATCACCTTCATAGTGGAATTGCCACGTGCGTCAGCCTGGGGTCCATGGACCCATGGTGCCTTCTCGGTTAAGGTGTTGTAGACGCCCAAGGGCAGAGTCTCAGGTGTAACCAAGAATTTGGCCAGAACCGACAAACCGAAACGCATGGGCTTGCAGCGCTCAACGAAGAGAACGCCTGGGCAACAAATATGTTTGGCCAAACTGGTCATTTATGCCACTTGCTTTTCCAACGTGCATGATTGATCACCGAAGGAAGCTTAGAAGTCAAACTTCCGACAATATGGACAGATGGAAAAGCAGAGGTGGGAAGAGTCAGAGAATAGAAAGGCAAGGAAAGAAACTCAGAGAAGAGGAAGAGTCAGAAGAAAGAAGATGCCGGTGCGCGAGAAGGTAGAAAAGTCGCGAGACACTGTGTGTTTTCCCTTGTTTTGTGGCTCCGGGGGATCGAAAAGTATGCTCGCTAAAGCGGCGGGTGCAGGGCCATCTGGGCAGATGTGAGATGAAAAATTGCACGCCACTGTGGCGCGACGCAGGTTTGGAAGTAAAAATGATCAAAGCACCTCTCAGCCTCGGAGCACTTTTGAACGTTGAGATGTCGAAAAAGTGCACGCTGTTGCAGGCACAAGTGATTCTGCACCTTGCCAAGGATAACGTCAGGGTTTTGTAGCAGTTTCAAAACCGATGACAGCCGCGGGACGTTTGAAGAGAATCTGCAAAGATGAATTTCGCGTAGCAGGCGCAGTGCAAGAGACATGTTCATCAGAGATGTTAGGAGGTCAGGGGACAGATTTCCTGAGAGAGGTTAAATTTTGGAGCATCAGATCTTCAGGTTTCCTAACATGATTTTGCGTGACAGGTGCGACACTTCGCATCACTTTTTCGTGGCAGGCGCAGTACTTTAGAGACATGGGATGGACAAATCGCACAACGCATTGGTACAAGGCCATCAGCTCTGCACTCAACTTTCGATTCTTGAAGGAAGTCTCGCAGAATTGCTTCGTTTTTGACGGTGTCAATTTCAAAAATTGAAGAAGCTTCATTGTTTTGGAGCTGCGATCTTGCACTTTTTCAGGAAGTCTCTTCAGACAGATAGACAGACAGACAGACAGACAGACAGACAGATAGATAATTAGATAGAGAGATAGAGAGAGAGAGAGAGTGTGAGAGAGAGTGTGAGAGATAGAGAGAGAGAGAGTGTGTGAAAGAGACTCAGAGCCTCAACCACCTTTCGATGCATCAGTTCGTTCTGCCCAGGTGTCACAACAACCAAACCTCTCCTATAAGTTTCCTACCTTTGAAGCTTCCGCCACCGCCTCGTGCGGTACTAGTGGTATCTTTAGAGATGTTGAGTAAAGTTTTGATTGACAAACAGTAGACAACAGTATTGTTTCCAAAGTTGTTCCCCCCTTTCCCACCTGTGTTCAAGGCAGCGACAAAAATCGGTCCCGAGGAAGCCGGGGGCAAAGCCCAAAATGGCAACTGTCTATCTGGACTTTGACTCCAGCAGTACCACAGCAATGCAAGGTCACTGGGAGTTGGAGTTGATTCTTTTTGGAGCTTGCAAAAGAGAGCTGCGCAAGATGCATCATCCAACATGGCTTTGTGGATTGCATAGCTTGACTCAATGTGTGCCATGGTGATCTCGGGCATGGACTGCCGGAAGTATTGGATGTATAGATCTTGCAGCAGTGTACAGCTGTCTAGAGACAACTGCAATGGCCTGCCGACTCCAGCCGATCCATGGGCCACCATTGCAAGGTAGTTTCCCAAACTCTGTGACTGCAAAGCAGAGTAGAGCGCAGGGAGAAACGGATTCTTGCTGGAGGACAACAAACTTCTACCAGCACTTCTGAGACTCGCATTCAATGGTTTCATGACCTTGCTCACCTCCTCATCCGTGCTGGAGAGAATCTTCAAAATGGTCAACACTAGCGTGTCAGAACTGGGCACGTTCTCCAAGACTTCACAAAGGAAACCTTCTGCAGACTGCGCTCCTTCCAGGGTCATTTGCTTGGAGATGGCAAAAAGCAACGGCTTTTGCAGAAGTGTCTCGACGATTTCGACATTTGGCGCATACTCCAGGACCGCTGCATGTGCAGCCGCCGTCAGTCGATGAGCTTCACCACCTGGTGGAGAACGTAACTAACGTAACTAACCACCGGCTCACCCTCATCAGGTCATAATAGGTCATGTATGTACACACATGTAGGTACTCAGATTATTCACACACCAGTGTATGTATGTATGTATGTATATATATATATACACATAAATGCTCATTTATTTATCTATTTAGTCATATTTATTTATGAGTTGTAAAAGTTGTATATGATACGTTGCGATAATAACAAATATATATATATATATACTGTATATATATACTGTGTATATATATATACTGTATATATATATACACACGTATATATATATATACACACGTTGTGCCATCGTCAGGACATGGTATATGATGGTACAAGGTTTATGGTCATCCATCCCATATCGGGAATCTTTGCATAATGGGTATATCAGTCCATATTCATGGCTTTATGACCATCCTACAATACATATATATATATATAAGATTACAATCAATATCAACAACATTGAATTCACTCGCATAGGCCGCAGCGGAGGCCTATGCGTGATCGCAGCTAAGTGTTGGAGAAAGAATATTATAATCCGATTTTCGATCATGGCACAAGATATGCACATATTGCAAAAAATGTATAATATTTTAATATATCGTCAAGTCATTTCTTGTATTGCTGCGACTCTCAACTGCGACTTCTCATGTCGTCCACCTGAGCTCAAAGATCGCCAGGCCAAAACATCATAGCCCAGGAGCTCCTCGAAACTGGAAGCCAAAGCAACCCCCACCTCCCTACGCTTCAGTTGTTCAGCATGGTCTGGACAGAACAGCAAGGAGACCACCTGCCAAATGGATCCAAATGGGACAAACACATACCCATCATACACTGGATACCATGATTTATGTATATTTATGTGTATATTTATGTGTATATTTATGTATATTTATGTGAAATCGAGATAGATTTAGTGTGGGCCACTAGATCTTACATCCATGGCTTTGTAATGGTTTACCCGGTTTACCCGGTTTACCCGGTTTACCCCCTCAAGCATGGTTTGAATCACAAGTTCACATTGCTGAGCCACTGCTCTTCCAACTTTGCCGGACTTGGATAACAACCTGTGAAGGGGTAGGTCCGTTTCCAGCAAGAAGCGCTTGATCTCATGCTGTGAGTTCAGCACATCGATTCCATCCAGTGAAATCAACATTGAGGCAACTCTCATGAGAAGGTCTGAGCGTCCTCTAGGGCAAAGCATCACATTTGATCGCACCAGCTCCTGAATTTCTGTTTCAGTCATATGACACCCATGGCCGCTTTGCAACGTTTGTATGGACTCTGGCAGGATGGTCAGCAGCCATTTCACTGCGGCGACTCTGGAGCTCAACTCTGAAGCATCCGAGCCATCGGAGCCATCGGAGCCATCGGAGCCATCCAGCAGATCTGCCACACATTCCAAGTCGCGCAGCAGCTTTCGGGTCACCTCTGCAGCCAATCTGCCTTGTGGTGTCCCAAGGTCGCCATGCAAATATGTTAGACCAAGTTCAATGGCCCGAGAAGGTGGTAGACAGAGGAATAAACGCAACGTGTCCACGCCAAGACCTGCAAGTTGAAGGAATAGACCTGGTTTGATGTCCAAAGCTGTGCGCCACGATTCCGAGAAGGATGCCCAATCCAGTTCGCGATTCTGTAGACACTGCCGTTCCAGTACCTCCGCTGTACATCAATCACCAAGGACCAGCAGTACTGAATCACGCTTAATGATGCTTAATGATTCTTCTGTCTTCTCTTCCATTCAAACTAATACAGGAGTTATGAGAGAAATTGAAAGAACAGGTGGCTTTCCATTTTTGGACCATGGAATCCCCATAGGATGGAGTGCCTCTTCAGGATCTTCGCTTTGATGTGCAGGGCCTTGGTTGGGGCTTTATTTACCGGGCGCTACCAAGGCTTGGTCTGGTCAACGCGGTCAACGCCAACACCACTGAGAGCTGCCACCAGAACCCCAATAAGCTGCAGTTGGCACCTGCGACTGAGTTGCTGCACCATGGGGATTACATGGCTCTCTCTCTCTCTCTCGAATATATATATATATTGTAATATGATAATATGTATATATATATATGATAATAGATGTATACATGGACCATATATACATAGGATGGTCTTAAAACTCAGCATCTATGAAACATTCTGGAAAAGGGCATGACATGGAATCACACCAAACAAATATTGCACAAAGTTTGACAGAGAGACTATCAATGCAGCTAGTTGGATAATCAGTTCGTCAATGTCATGTTTTGACTTCTGCGGAAACGATTGGAGTCTGTGCAAATGGGTCAGTTCAATTGTTTTTCTTTTCGGCACATCAATCAATGCACAAGATGATGACAATATGTACACCTGAAAACACATCATGGCCTCCCAATTCTCAACAGAAGATTCGAGTCTTGCAGTTGCTTGCTCCAGCAAGTCCTTCCACTTCAGGTCGCATCCAACCGAAACATCATTTTGTTGCATTCTTTTGCAGTTGACAAAGTTGATGCTGAAATATGGTATGGGTTTATGTGAAAGCGGGCATTACAGTAATCCCATTTCCATGTCATGGTATCATATGGTATCATCCTTTTCCCCATGAATTAGTCACACATGTCACAAATTGGTAGGCCATCGGGCATCCCCCATTCTTATGAGTGGCCCTTTGGTGATCAATCCATGTATATAATTAAACTGATGATAATCCATGTTTTTTTTCATTTTTTTTCAATGGTTCATAAATGTTCATAACTTCTTGGATCAACCACCCCACAGTAGCATCATCTCGATCGGTTTACCACCTTACCGTAACGAGTATTGCACCACCATTCCGTTCCTCGATGCCCGTGGAGTGCGTGTTGTTCTCAAAGTCCCATTGGGACAAAAAGCGACGTTCGGGCTTTTGACTTGGCCAAAACCAGGATCCTGCCAGGCTTCACATGGCGACTGGGAAATCCCCCGAAACTAGCCATGGAGGTTTGAAATGGTTTGAGTTTGAATAGGTAAATCAAACCGAAATGGCAAATCATTGAAGTCTATGGACCCGAGACTTAGCGGTCTTGTTTGCTTCGCTCCGTTGCAGAGTTCTGAGGAACAAATGCCATCGAATTGTTCAGGTGCTGTTGCGCAATCATGGCTTGCCTTCTGCTTGATGCACTTTCTGCGGTTCCACCTGTCAGAACGTCGGAAAACGTTGGACTGATACATGACTCGGCACTCACAGATGATCAGCATGGCAAGATAAGGAATACGCTCTCTGGCTACCGCTGGTCAAGTGACTGTGACTCTTAAACTTATGTTCGCAGTTAGCCTTCCGGAATCTGACAAAACAACTGCAGCTCTGCAAGATTCTGCAAGGAAATCCCCATTGGAAAGTCTTCAGTTCAGGTTGGCTAAGACACACTCATAAGCCATAAGATACTGTGCAGTATTTTCATATCATTTTGACTCGGCCTCCACGATTGCGTATCCCAACTCCAAATGCTTAGGATATCAGCCGGGCCATGCTTAGAACAGCCCAACTAAAAATCGGCCTGAAAGCCAACGAAGTCCAAATAGCGACACCAGGACTCAAGCACACATACCTCCAAGTTGTGACATCCATCATGCATCAGTGTTTTTTTCTTGGATGCCTTTTTTGATTTTTTTGAACAACTTTCCAAAAGTAGAGACTTGATGTCAGGGTGAAGGCACCCAGAAGAAAAAACACCGGCCGCAATGTCCCGCAGTTTCGAAGAGCACAGAGAATACCAACATCATCATACATCATCAACATTGATCAACAATCATCAACATTCATCAACTGTAAATCATCACAATCATGGCTGCAGCGGCAGCTTTGACAGCTTTAACCTGCCTGATCCAGGAACCTACACACCGGAGAATGGGCGCGGAAGTCCGTGAAGCTCAGATCCCAAACCTGGAGCTAATCCGAAGCATCCGAAGCATTTCAAACAGTAAGTTGATGTAAGTTGGGTCAGGATTCACAACAGGTACATTATATACACTTGTTTGGACATGTTTGGACTGGTTGTTCCTCTGCTTCTTTTCACTCCACTATCCCCACACGACTATCTGATATATTCTGATATCATAAGCCCTTCTGGCACCTTGTGATCAAGTTCCATTGCAGCACCTCTCCTTAATTCAATGGGAACAACTCGTGTAGAAATTGGACAGGGATCATAGCATGCAAATAGGGGGTCCATAACTTTCCAGCATCTCCAGCCAAGCTTCAAAACAAAGTTTGCGACCAAACATCCTGTGGCATATGCCAGCGATCTTGTATCGAAGGCAGTGCCCTGGCTGCGCTGAAACTGCGAGGGTCAGCATGGATCAGCACGGGGCTTCCTGCCTGACTTGTACTTTGGGTACCTTCATGGCCAAGGCTATGGAGAATTCCCGCGCAGAGGTCCTGATTGTTCTCAGCTCAGCAAAATCAGCAAAACCGTCTACTGGGGATATGGTGATATGAGCGGTGGACAAAATTACGTACTACTCGCAATGGACATGGCTGACATGGCCAAAGTGGGTGGTCCCCTGACATCCTAAGTCCACTCCCTACTACTTTTGTCTTCCGCTAATTTTGTCGGTTACTCATGTGGAGGTTCCATAGTCATGGGGGTACCCCAATAGCTGGTTGGTTTATTTCATGGAAAATCCAATCTAGAAATGGATGATAACTGGGGGTACCCCCCTGGATTGGACACCTCCATATTGTGGTGATACCAGGTGTGACTCTCCGGCAATTTGGAGTGTCTCCCAGCTTCGCAATGCTTTGGCTTCGCATTGAGATCCCGGCGGCTGCCACGTCTGCGCGCAAGATTTGTCTGCCTCTATACCAAAACAACAAATATCAGATTTTTTTTTGCGTTGCATCTCAACACCAGTAATTAGGAAAGTGAGTCAACAGGGGTCAACATTTATGTCGTTTGGAGGATACTAAACAAGTCTCAACTACCCGATTTGGGAGACCTGCTGGAGCTGGCATCGCCGCCAAAGCTGCTCCGCAAGCAGCTGGGTCTTTGGCCTCCAGTCGCTCTAGTGGCTGAACAAAATGTAGTGCCGTGGTGGAAAAAACATGAAAAAACGATATGGACATATAATATATGGACAATCGACACATCTGCAAATAATCTGAAATATCTGAACTATCTCAAAATAATGGTCTCCTACTGCTAGAGTAGTTTCAGCTCAGATGTTGCAGAAATCAATCCTTTTCTTTTTGCAATAGTCAGGACATGTCAGGACCCATTAAGATTCGAGTGTTTTCTGTGACCCACCAGCCTTGATCGCAAGTAAGAGGCTATTTGGAGGTGAGCTGGGCAAAACTTGTCCTCAAGCTTCAACTGACATTTAGTCATGGCCAGCTGTACTGTGCTGGTCAAGTTTTCAGTGTGCTCGCTTCAAAGCGGCCCTCAACTGAGATAACAGTCACATGTGTATCTAAGTATATAGTCATCTGTATACGTACATGTACGTAGAGGTGTATAATATGCATCTGCAATTACATACACATGTTTGCATGCAGATATAATTCATATATAGATAACCACATAATATATAATATATTATATATATTATATATATTATATATATATTATATATTATATATATATCATATATATATTATATATATTATATATACTATATATATTGTATATATTATATATATTATATATATTATATATTATATATATTATATATATTATATATATTATATATATTATATATATTATATATATTATATATATTATATATAATATATATAATATATATAATATATATAATATATATAATATATATAATATATATAATATATATATATATTATATATATAATATATTATATATATATAATATAATATATATATATATTATATTATATATATTATATATATATATATTATATTATATTATATATATAATATATATATATATTATATTATATATATTATATATATTATATATATTATATATATCACTAGATATACACAGATTTTAATCAATTGATACATAAATTATGTATGATATATGTATGATCATGTTAGTGGATCCACATCTTTGACCGTGTCACCGCAGAACACAAATTCCATAAGTTGCAGCAACTCAACATCCCTTACATTTGTGACAGTAGTACTGCCAGCCTTCAATGAGTAAATGGAAGGGTGGCCGGCGGCTTTGCAGCAATATCAGCACCAGCACAATTTTCACTTTCAACTATAAGATCTACAAATGCTTGAGCAGAGTAGCACTTGCAAGGAACATCGAGCAACAAATTCCTAGCGAATGCACTTCACAGCAAGCTAAAGTACTAGTACCACATATAAACCTGCTGCAACCTTTGAGTTTGCCTCTCCTAAAACCAGTTGTAGCGCTCGCATGAAGTCGCTGCTGTGCTTTGCAGATGGTGGAGTGGCCAGTGTGTCATAGTCCTTGATGCAGGTGCAATAGACAATGGATTCAACAAGGACTCACATTATCCTGTATCAATTGTTGTATCTATGTCTAGCTCTGTCTAGCTATCTTTTGGACAAGCTTTTGGAAAAGACGCCGAGGACATCGCGATGTTGGGCGCACCTCGAACCTGACTTGTCACAACGGCACAGTGGATACAGTGGCATTTCTGCTCACAGCTGCTGCAGCTGTTGTCCTGCCAAGTTCCGAACGTGAACTATGGTGGCTTGCAGGTACTCTGTGCCAAGGCGAGTGGTCACGCCTTGTGGCAAGAATTGGCAAGGCTGCGGTCAGTTCGACAACTCAACGCGGACGACTCGTATGACTCGTGGGCCAATGGTGACAGCAGATTTGATCAAACTGTGGGCCCCATGCGAATGCATCGCAAGAATGCGAGAGGCTCTGGAGCGACCAAGACAACCTTGAGAAAGACATCGGGACACTCAGTCGAGAACCACTGGAGTACGACTGATGGTTTTGTAGCATCGAAACCTCTATTTGATGCTGGTTTCCAACATCCACAACTCCCTGGATTTTTTTCATCAGGGAAGTCGTCAGATTCGTCAGTAGAAATCCAGGGATTCCTTGCTCCAAGCCTGAGAACCTGACACGAACTCCGCAAACATATGCCCGGGCCACCAAATCCTCCAGCTTGCTGGGCGTGATAAATCCAACCTTCCAAAACAACGCAGTGGTGGAGCAGCAGCTATTCTGGCATCATTTCTTTATTGTTCTTTATTGCTATATAATGCTATATATGTATATAGCTATCATTGGCTATCTATATACATGATATATGATATATCATTATATATATATGTATATATATAATCATTACCTAGGCCTTCAAATGGCAAGTTTAACTTTAACATACGGAAATACTACTTTTAACCATGCTGGGCCCCCCCATCTGCCCCTGGCATCATCGGTTAAGCCGGAATATACAGTACTTCTGGACGACTCATGCGCAGCAGTGTATTTTGTGTAAGATTTGATAAAATCATATAAAATCCTTGAACCTAGATGGATCCTAGACTGTACCTCCAAAACATGTTTGCGTGAAGTGTCCGCGAACTTGCGTGAAATACCCGTGAAATTCTAAGTTTACCCGTGTAATGCAAAGTTTACCCATAAAGAACTAAGTTTATCCTGGTGCTCCGCCTGAGCTGGCACCCCCCAAACCATGGTTAAACTTCATGGGTAAACCCGATATTTAACGCAAATGCTAAGTTTATATATATATATATATGTATATTATAATATTATATATAATATTATATATATAATATAATATTATATATCTAATATATATATAATTATATATATAATATATATATACGTATGTATAATATGTATTATAATATACTCTTGTATTATGTATATAATATTATATAATATCAATTTATATCATGCTGGGTATCACATAGCATCTCAGATGCTCCACACATACACAAAACCTCGAGGACAGCTTTACAGTCTCATCTTTAGCTCGGCGCCTTGCTAAAATGAGACGCGATAAACTGTAAAAAGGATACACACATCCAGAATCATTGACGTTTTGTGTGATGCTGTACCATAATGTACCATCGGCAACCAATTTGATGCTGACACGTTTTGATATTTTTGGGTTGGTTAAGTTGGCTGCGCGAAGTCTCCAAGTCTCCAAAATTCTCCAAGGCACTCCCAAGAGGACGATAATTGGTAGCTTGGATGACATGCTTTGATCTCCTGGACACAACCAAAGCACTATAGATCACTAAAGTGGCTCTGCCTGGTATTAGGGTCAGTTCTCATGAATAATTCCATAGAAATTCTTACCTGACCAAATTGCCAAGACACATTATTTATGAAGCGCAAGTTGCGCTTCGTTCCCTGTCTTGACTGATTGAGGTACTTGAAGCATCTTGAAACTAAATGAACTGCAGGAACATGCGATTACAGAGAACTTGCAACCCGGTCCATGGTGAGCCAAGCGGTCGAGAAGCGACTCCACCGGAGCCAACACCTGCCCAGCATTCTCTTGGCACAGAGCGACTATTGCGTAGTTTTTTACTTGGGTCTTACCATTTTAGTGTCTTTTTCATGTCCGAACAGCAGGTAATTGGGAGCAAGACCTTGACCCTATGCATATCATTGCCACTAAATCATAGGCATATAGTACGTTATAGTATGTTATGGTAAATTATAGTCCGTTATAGTATGTTATGGTAAATGGTAAATTAGAGTACGTTATAGTATGTTACAGTCACTATTCAATCATTGCAAAGACGAGCAACACAGGCCCAGCGCACCTGCCGTTCTGCATGATTCAATCGGAAACATTTCACTCCATCCATCTGTGCATATCTCTGCTGGATCAGAGCCTCACCAGCGGGTACAATCTGCAATCCTCATGGGAAAGCATGGTAGCTTTAGGAGCACCTCATCAGAAGCAACAAGCAGCAGGAGCGTTGATTGAGGCCTTAGAATCCGCACGATATTACTCAAGTGACTCTGAATATTGTGAGGACAAAGTTTTCAAGAATGCAGCAACGAAAAAAACAATATATTCCGAGCGTGGCACTGATGAGGGTGGCTTCGCCACTTCTCTTCCCGATCCGCCCATGCCTTAGGCCAACGGAGGAAGACCCAGGGCAAACTCATGCTGTTGTTGATCAAATGGAATAGCCGCGGCTGATAAAGACATCTTAGCATCTTCCATAAGAACCTGGGTTCGATGTGAAGTCCGGGGCTTGAACGTGTGCTTCTTTCAGAAAAGATTGGGATTCCTTCAGATTTCTTGCCTCGGTTCAACATGTTTCCGGTAGTTCACCCGAGACGCAATTGTTCCATGGAGACGGGCATGAGAAGATGCACCGACAATATCCCACGATGCAAGCAATGGTGGCAAGAGCTCTGGTCGTGGTGAAATGATATTGACATATATTGACATACACTGGCCTTTTTGAAGCATCATTGAGCACAGCTGTTGAAGTGACCACACTTCCAAACTTCCAAGGGTTGGACCCAATCAATTCGAGGACAGGAAACAGCCCTGAGCTATTTACTTGGAAATTCACAGCATCAAAATCTCAATATAGTCTGCGCAGTTTACACATCTGGCATATCTCTGGCTCTCTGACTTGCTTCCATCTCTCTTCAAGAGTGTATCCAAGCCATCCTAAGTCGACGGTGAAGTGCTGCCCCAACAGAATTTGCAAAGCTGACGAAACGAGGGCAGTACCAAAGGACTCATCTCCACGGGCTTCATTTTCTGGCATGCCAAGGTGGCTTGCCCTAACCTCAGGGAGAAAAAAAACCATCGTCTTGGCCATGGCACGAAACAGCAAACCATAGCAAACCACTTGGATCTCGGCGCGAATGTATCACGGTACGTGGTGGGCGCCTAGAGGGACGTGCTGCAATCCAAGAAGTGGGATGCTCGAGCAATCCCACACCAAATGGTTTGACAAATGTTTGACAATTCTTGGTGCCCTACTGACCGAGAACTAAAATCCACCTGCGAGTCAGAGAATCTTGGAAAACATGGAAAGCCCCGCAGCCCCTGTGTGAAACAATGTGAAACAGCTTCATTTTTGGTCAACAGCTACCCCAGCTATCGAATGATCTAGAATGGATGAACTGGCAACACCAGTGGAGTGGTGCCACCTTTTCCACGCCTCCTTCAAGGAGTTTGGTAACAAGACGTTGCCAAGCGACAAGGTTAAAGCAAGCTTGGGAAGGAGTCCAGGATACCAACCTCAGTGAAGAGTGAAGCCGAGCAGGCTCAAACAACGTGAGAGTGCTGATGTTTCCGCTGGGTTGAGTCTCTTGCTGAAGACGAGCCGGATTGAGCCGCAAGCTGTTCGAATTAGCCTGAAGAACACATGGCAACACTCTGCCAGCCCAAAGTGTAAGGTATCAGCTATGCCATGTCGATTCTTGTGCAAAAGCTGAGGTTCGCACTCACTAAGTTGCAAGGCAGAAATCTGTCCCGTAATCTCCTTGGCAACCAGTATCAAAGGCCGCGCAACATTCTTAATTTGATATTCTATCATCAAAGACGCTGTGATCCCCAAACTTGGGACCCCCAAACTTGAGGCCCATTGGATTATCTGGACGTTTGTCGGAAAAAGCTAGCAGGCATCACGCCGAGGATGGAACGATCAAGATGAATGTCAAGGTGGAGTGCTGAAACGAGGCGATCCTCTCCAACGCCGCCTGCGTTGTTTTGGCTCCGAGAAGGACTGGGCCCCCCGGGGAAATCCTGGGCACCTCGAAGCAAAAGCGCTCCACGGCCAAAAGTTCCAAGGAGAGCTTGGTATGTTTCACCAGGCTGCAGAAGTCGTTCAGGTGTGTGGCTGGCAAGACCTAAGGACATGGAAAAAATGCAAGCAGAAGTTGCGTTGTCTTAGGTTTCTCAGCATTTTCGATATTTTGTTGCTAGCGGAATCTCTGAAACATATTGATTATTTCAGTGCAAACTACGTGAAGTACTATATGTCAAATCTCCTGAAAAATTGGAATGGCTTCATGACAAAAGAAATACAAAAGATACGTAGCAGCGAGTACTTCTCGCGAAAATCCATAAAAATCCTGCGCGCTGTTGGAGGTGAACACATAATGCTAGCTGTGAGTGGTTGAAACATGTTGAATCCTGAAATGACGCTGCTAAGCATGCTTGGCCTCCCACCGCTGCCAGCCTGTCATTTGGTCCCGCCAACAGAAGTTCAAGCAGTATCTCCTCATGGTAGGGGATGATACGGGCATGTCTTCTTGTCTGACATCTATGCCTGGAAAGACTATGTATGCAAAGAGCAAGTGTATCTTGAGACGAGTACACTCAGGCAGTCTCTCCATCCCTTGCAATTTCATCACTTGAAAAAAACGCCAGATTGATTCATGTTGAACTATCTAGGAACAGACTTACAGTACCATAAAGAACTTTGCTGATAAAACCACGGACATTAGAACCAATCAAACTGAATCAAACTTATCATGAAATCAAGCACCATACACTGTATTAAGACGACAACATGTTTTCCACACGAACCGGCAATCTCGGAACCAAGGTTGGCAAGAAGACGACCCTTTGGACACCCGGTCAATGGATGTCCTTGACTTCGGGCACCACATGGCTGTCTGTTTCTGACCTCAGTTGACGGCTGAAGCATGCTGGAGCCACAAACAAAACGCTAGGCACCATGGAATCTCTGGCATCCCTCAGGCCATCCTGGTGTTTCGAGCATTCAGATCATGTCACGTTGTCACATCATGATACATCATGTCACATCTGTACGGAATTCGCATCAGAGATTGGGTCGCATCAAACAAGTCACAGCCAGCAGCTCAAGCCTAGACAGTTGGGTCCAAAGTATGTCCAAAGTATGTCCAGGGGAATTCGGTTCCCTTGAAGCCTTGGTTCCCCGGCTGATTGAACTGCTGAAGAAGTCCAGACCAATGCTTCTTCAGAGCCTGGAGTCGACACCCCAGTGTTGCTATATGGGGGTTTCCATACATGGGGGTACCCCTCTAGCTGGATGGTGTATGATGAAAAAACACTTTGAAATTGGTGATTTGGGGGTACACCCATTTATGGGAAGCCCCCATATGCATGCTATGCATTGCTATGCTATGTGTTGCCGAAGGCTCAGTGTCACCACACTGAGTCCGAAAGCTCTGTACTGCTACCCTGCCTGAATGAACACACTTCCAAGTTCATCAAAGCGCTCGAGCAGACCCTGAAAGGATACCGCAAGTCAGGAACTTGCTTGAAAGCTTTTGTCACCATGGAATATCACGGATCCAGAACCAATCCAGGATATACAGTACTTTTCGAACAAGGCACGCCATGAAGCAACCAAACATTGTCACATAGTGTCACTCTTTCATGCGTCTGGGCCAAAGATTGCTCAAAGGGTGCGACAATGGAGGTGAAGTAAACCAAGGAAGGCTGTTGACCTTGGCCGATAGCGATTTCAGCAAGCATATTTGTTGGACACCAGGATGCACCATATTATCCTTGGGCCCTTCCCACCAAGCCCTGCTTGGGTCCTTGTGTCTCTGAGACTGGTGCGGATGGCGGTGGAAACGTCCTGGAGTTTGTACATATAAAGTTTGTTGACATTGCAACAATATATTGCAACAGGACCCATCCAAACCGCTGGTCTGTGCAAGGAATGAAGAATGGGGACATTTAATTCTCTTCAGCAAATATCAGCAGTGTATGCGCAGTAGCCGTGCAGATGCCGTGCAGCTTTGAGCATGTTTGAGACCAAAGTCACCGAAGCCGGAAGCACGTGTCCGATGAGTCCGATGAGTGAGGTCATTCCTTGCCATCCAGTGGTTGTCTTTGAAAGAAATTCGAAAGGGGAGGTACCAACAACGCGCCGCGGGGTGGGGTTCACGGCGTTCGACTTTTTTGTGAGCCTTGTTTTGTGATGTCTTGTGGACAGTCTCCGGTGACGAATTGAATTCTGCAACGAGCCTTTGACTATCAGTCTCTTATGTCTCTTGCATTCTCTTGCTACTTCTTCAAACTGCGTCCTTTCGGAGTACACCAAGACAAATCGAAGTTCTTGCGTTCCACATCGTTCCACGTGTTTTTGTGTCTGATCTGCTCGTCTCAACCTCAAATTTGTAGATTTGGAGGATTTTTGGGGCTCAACTGCTCTCGTTTTGCTGGGTACCAAGCGGGGATCATTTGGCTCCAAGACTCTCAGCAGAATTGCATTCGTTGGGATTTGAAACTGGCTGCGATGAACATGAAGTGTAGAAGATGGCATCCATGTGGGAGAGGCCATGAGAGGCCTTATTTCAAACCATTTCAAACCTCACCTTTTTTCCATGGTGTTTTATGCTTGTTTCAGACACAACCTCAGCAATTGTAGAAGTTGCATACAATCACTCAGGCAATGTGGAACTGCACAATATTCGCAAACTATGTGACAATACGACAATGCACTAAAAATGCTACAATTTGGGGCTCCGTTCGCAGAAGCTGATGCTGAGTTTGGCCACATTTCAGCAACGCAAGCCAGAGGACACACGCCCAGGCGAAGAGCAAATCACACACACATATATATATATATATTGTATCTATATACACGTATTATATATATATACATAATTACATAATTTATACATGCACATGTACATAATTATAAAGGTTCGGACTTTTGATCACTGCTTGACAGACTCAGAATGATCTGACATTTGCTCCTCCAGGCTGTGTCGTTGGCTAAACCAAATCGCCAGAAGACTGGCCAAGACCTGTCTCGGAACAGCCGGGAGAACGCCACTGGGAAAGCGCCACGAACCGCCACCGCCTCAGCAGTTTCCACAACGCCACTGGTGGAAGCTGTAAAGAGATTGCGAGGCAAAGGCCTTGGTCACCAGGTGTTCACAGGCCTTTAGCCATTTGAATACATTTGAGGGCATTTGATACACTCACACACACATATGTCTGTATATATATAATATATCTATAATATTATAAATAATATATACCTGATAGGGGGTTAATTTGAAAGCCGTGTCACGCACTGCTATCTTTCACTTGCATGCTATCAGCTTGCTGTGCAACCGGCAGGCAACTGCCCCCAAAGCTACAGATGCATTTGATACCAATTCCATTGACAGATGATGCATGCTAAAATGTTAACATGTTTTACGCAACTCCTTGCTATGTTGTCAACAAGTCCTGACTTTGCAGCCGCCACAACCTTTTTCAGGTGGACAACAGGTCTTCAACTGCTTGCGAAAGGTTTCCATTAGCACATTGCAGGGCGCTCTCCGCAGCTGGTCGTGAAAAACCCATGCTGAGTAATTCCTCTACAGCTTTGGACTTCGCAAAGTTCGCAAAGTTCGAACTCTCGCTGACTGAGGGACTCGGTTCTACCTGATCCGAAGTTCGGCCAACTGCCTGGCTGCCCTGGCTGCCCTGGCCCTGGGTGCCCTGGCTGCCGTGGGGCTGGAACATTGGGAGCTTCAAGGCCTCAGAAAGACCACCAGCTGCTGCGATGATGCCTTCAGCGGTGTCCACTGGGAGCCCGGTGATCTCAGCGAGTTCCTCCGCCTGAGTTGCTTCTCGTGGTCGTTTGCGCGACCAGTCCAAAAGCTGCTGGGATGGGCGGCTTGGTAGAGACTTCTTTGGTGGATTGTCAGTGGCTGACAGAGCATGAATGCTTCCAACATCTTGGAAAATATATGGGATGTGCTCTTCCTTGCAGCTACTGTGCAGCTGCTCGAATTTGGCATGAAAGCAGGAAAATGGATGCCCGTTCAGCGCACATAGGTCAGCCAAAGCAACAAGCTCTGTTTTACGCCAGCAGTGACCATCGGAATCCAGGCAATCATACTGCCCCTCTTCAGTATTCCAGCCAGCTGCAAGAACCAACAGAACGCTCTTGCTGTCTTCAGAAGCCATCTCTGGATACCTGTGTATTGGGTGGAGCATTCGAACACAGCACAATTGATTGTCATTGATTGTCAATAGAGTTTGAAGGCTTACAATGCTTACATACGGCAGCTCTATTGAAAACAAATAAAGCCACTAGAATTCCTACTACAAAGGCGACTGTCCTTGTTTTATATTTTAAAGACTTTAAAAGTACGTCTGGCAGTGCACCTCTGAATCGCTGTTCTTCTCAAGGCTTTCAGAAGTTCATCCCCCGCTGCCACTGCGATGTCTTTCCGGAAATGCAGGTCGTCGTCTTTCTGGCCGTAGATGCCCTGAGCATTGCGCAGTTGGCATGCCTCAAGCTCTGGAAAGTGCGAACGATCAGCTCGCTGCATAATCACGTCTTCAAGGTCACAAACACTCCACGGCGTCTCCAAGCTCTTTATCAACTGAGATTGCGCACGCTCTTCCACAATCTTAGGGAATTGTTCTCCGTGTGATCGACACTTTGCAGTGCTCATGGCTGCACGAAGGACCAGCACTCGCACCGTCGGATCACCAACCAATTCTTGATGCACAGTAGGTTCTGCCCGTGTAGCTTTCATGGCCAAAGCCACCTGAGCTGTTGGCCAGTGGGATGAACATGGATGAACTATGAACTGGGCGTGTCTGAAAATGGGAGAGACCCCGGATTAGTTGCAATTTTACGTGGAAACTGCTGTACAATTGTGATCCATTATTTGATAATGTTAGACACAGCCTAATTTTTTAAATGAGATCCACAAGATCAAAGAACGTTGGAAAAACATTCAGCGGTTGAGGTGCAGCCGAGTGAGGACAGTAGTCTCCGCCACTCATGACCAAAGCTCCTCCGCTGGCGATGCACAAACAAGACAGAAAGGAACCTGCTGGGGCTGCCGATGTCTTGTCATCACGAAGTCGGTGCAAATGAATTCCAGAGGCCTTGTGGCCAGTCAGCAGGCTGTCGCAAAGCAAAATCACAAACATCAGCAGAAAATCGCCGCTAGGTCGACAAAGCAAAGCTCACCGCATCGCACAGCATGAAGAGGATGCAAGAGATTACAGTGATTACAGCTCACAGCTGTTAAAAGGTGCCTGAACAAGTGTTTAATTAGTTTTAACATGTTTTTACAGTTTTTGACACGTTGGGCACACCTTCCTCCATGGAGTGCTCATTAAACTACTGGTATGACTCACAGGCCACCTCTTCAGTCCCTGCACAACACTCATGAGACATCCTCCGAACTCGGTGTCTTGTTCTTAAACTTGCTCTTTGCTTCCAAAACAACGCTGCCCGTGTCATGTTCATCTTTCTGAATTGTCACTCTTCAATACTCTTCCAATACTCTTTCCGACTCTTTCCATCTGCTTCCTTCCCGCTTTCCTTAAAACACACTGCATGACATTAGACATCATTAGACACATGTTACTGAGTCCCTGAGATGCTGCAGCAGCTGCGGGCAAATCTAAGAATGTCAATCAGGATCCCATTTCTCATATTTCCCATTGGTTGCTCGTCCAAAAAAAATCATGAAATGCATTTAACACTGATGAAAGAAGAGCAGAACAGCACATGACATATGACTCAATTATATTCAATTATGATAATCTTGAACTATCTTTTGAAGTATTCTTGAGAATTTCTTGAGCTTCTGACAATCGCAGGCCGGGACCAATCCCCATGCTGAGCCGTCGGAAGCCACCGGAGGCATCGGCTGAATCGCGAGCGAAGCGGTGCTGTGGAAGCACCTGACAGGGCTGTGAATTGCTGGGCGTGGGGATAGGGCATCGGAAATCCGAACGGAAGAAGTTGTGAAGTATGGTGACATGACATGAAATGACATGAAATGACATGAAATGACATGAAATGACATGAAATGACATGAAATGACATGAAATGACATGAAATTACATGAAAGGACATGACATGCAATGACATCATTAACATCATGAAATATGCTCATAAATCTGTAAATGATGAATGGTCGAACATTTTTGCTAGGCGTCATTTTTATTATGCTTTATCCCTCCCTTCATTGCCTGATACCAGGACGAGTGCCCAATGACCTTCAAACGGAATTGCATGGTGTTCGTCTTCAGCAATTAGCAAGAAAAACGATGAAAAACGACAAACCTCCGATGATTTCTAGAGTCTAGGCATGTCTAGGCATCTGGTTTCTCAAGTGAAAGTTGAGAATGTCCGATCCAAAATCTCTGCCGTACAAAGTGTTTGCTAAAAAATGACCTTTCCTCACAGAAAGCGATTTGCAACGGGAAGTGTATTGCCATCTGACATTGGACAAGTGTGGAATGTTCGCAATTCTTTACTTCCACAAGCTTTGCAGCGTCCTAGCTAGAGCCTGCACATCGTTACTAGCACAACTACAAGATCTCAAGCTTCTCGCTCGTTTGAACATGGACGCACGCACAGAGTCGACTTCTCGACCAACAAATCACTGACTCAGGTATGTAATGCACACGAGAGACAAACAAGGGGCTCAACATGAGGTCCTCCTATTGTCACTGAAGGGCAGGTTCTGCACAAGACGATCGCCTGAGAGGTCTGCAAGTCGATCAACAACTCCTCCGCATCGCGGTTCAAGGCTGGCAGCTGTAGATGTACATGAGTAGCTGTGACCTTGCTCAAGGCGGCCAACAATCTGTTCCATGACATGCTGGTTACATCTGGCTACCGGTTGGTTAAGGACGGGATTCCCAGTTCATGGATGATGCTAGCAATCCCTAATATATGAAGGGTCGTTTAACTCATCAAACAACCAGGGTTTTGAACTGTGCTCAATTCAGCTCAAAACACCCTGACCCTGAACGCAGTTACATTATTCCTGGAAGTGATCTACAGTCTCAGACTTCATCTACATAAAGATATGGACAGTTTTCTTTTGGCATCGCATGATATCGCATGAGCTATTGTCTTTTCCTCAGCTGATGGCCAAGATCTGCTGCAAGGTGTATGAATCCTCCCGGACTTCACTAGGAGGTACCTTACCAGAACAGAACAAGTGAGCAAGGCAGATGGAGAGCCTGGAGAGCTGCAAAGCGCACAGCGAATGGCGCAATTTTTGCACCATGGCTTGGACGAAATCGGCTGAGCCAAACTAAGCCATGTACCCATTGGTACTGCATCACAGTGGCCTCAGATTTTGCGATGGAGAAGCCGCTACAGAAAAATCACAAAACTTTCCAACCTTCCGCAGCTTAGGTCATGGCATCCTCAAGCATGTCCAACAGGCCCCCCTGTCCACCTGCCATGCAGATTTTTGTATTTAGAATCCTTTTCACATCTTTCAATCTTTGACTTTCAGACGTGTTGAGGACCTTTCAACAGTTTTCAGTTGCTTCCCAAGCAACTTGGGAAAGGCTTGTTTCCAAATCTAATAGTATAGTATATAGCAACATCTAAACTCTGGCGACTCTGGTAAACCATGAAATACCCATATGTTTTATCACCATTTATCACCAATGTTTGCCAGTGAAATCGACTGTTTCACGGATAAAAAACATGCCGGGATCAGCTGAGTCCTGTTTCCGCCATGCGGTACATGCCGCTACTCCGAAGCCCAACTTCCCTCACCTTCATCGGATCCCAGGCTGTTCAAAGAATTTCAAACAACCCCCCAATCCAAAAATCACCATTTAAAAAAAAAAAACATATTAAAACGATCCAATGCTTGGAAAATGTTGGAAACGAACGTTTAATTATGTTTAATTCAACAGGTTCATGGACAATGTAGTGTGCACAAAATGAATACAAAATGTTCGAGACTGCAAACGATTTCAACTCAAAAACAAAAAGGTCAAAGTGGATTGAACACATGAGTAGCAGTAGCATGGTGTAAGGGTCGTTGCAAAGACTCCTTGCTTTCACGGTATAAGCAACACGAACACGACGCCTCATACTCCTCCCGTCCGACAATGGCGCCTCCAAGGCAGCAAATGAGATAGACATGGATCCCAATAAATCCCATTAAATCGCAGTGAATCCCAAACGTAAGGGTGCGACGTTCAAGAAACACGCAACTTTCTTTTCTCATCTTTTTTCGCTAGAAAGGTTGCTTCAAGGGTGCGACCCAATCTAGCTGTGCTAAAAGCACTAACCGACTTGCATCACTACTATAGTGATCATTAAGCATTTCAGCCACTCACCGAGTGAATTCATCAAACTGCCATATTGCCAATTGCCATAAGGGCACTTGCCATATTGCCAATTGCAATGTCTTTCAACAGTATCACCTGGTGAAAACCTTGCTCCTGAGTCAACATCATTGAATCATTCCCTAAGCCTATTGTCCTGTACTTGCCGGTGACATCTTCGTTGCTCAGTGTGATGATTCCTGTCTTGTCAGCTGCAATCGGTTTAAACTTGGTTTGGCAACCATGAGACCACGTGAAACAGGAACATCTCAGAGTCACCTCAGTGCACAAAGAAGGACAAACGATGTGCAATCGAATCATGGTCGGAAAACAGTAAGGCTTGCACCAAGCAAGAAAGACGGAGCTTCTGCTGGAATCTCCGAATTCTAGTAGATACTTCTACTGGTACCCAAGTTCTGGTCAAGCTCTTTCCCAGTGATACTCTTGCACTTCCATCTCGAATATGTTGGAGTTTATTGGCAAGTATAATTAAACTATATTAAACTGAGCCTTTGACCTTGTTCAATCCGTTAATCTGACCTCAAGACAGCTGTCGAAACACGGAATCAATCCTACATATCCTACGACTGGTGTGAAATAAGTTCCTCTCGTGGCGAACCACCGTTACGCACTGTAGACTAGAGGCTCTACAGACAGAGTCCCAAGGATCTAAAGTGCTTCAAAACACACTTCAATTACCCTGAAACCTCTTGTGTGATATACACACATACACACAGTCACTGCTACGGAAGTTTGAAAATAGCTGGAACATTCGCGAAGGGCGTGTGTCAAATCGCAATGACACAAACAAAATACTGCTAACTTTCTGCTTTTGGATGTTTGATGATGTTTGAATATCCTTAATGTCCTTTCAGATTCCTTGGAGCGCCTGGCTGTGACTTGACTTAAGAGAGCCATCCAGGCTGGAGTAGGTGTGGAGTTTTTCTCAGGTGCGCCTATAGTGAAGTTTTTTCCCAACTCTATCACTTAGCAAATTCATGTATATAAGCAGAATCTGACAATCCACTTGCAGGTTGTGGAGATTTGTATGTGTTTGATACTAGACTCCAAATATATATATATATTATAATATATAATATATATATATAATATTATAATATATATATATTGTACAGAAAGTCTACATACTTGTGACACCTTCTGTACTACATCCATCTACATCCGGGAGTGGCTGAAAAAATATATATGGCCTTCTCAGCATAGATGGCTTTGGCTTTTGCGTACAGCGCCTGTGCGAAGTACTTGTGGACTAGACATGAGTATACCGTCAACACCAGTACCCTCTGGTAATTTAAAATAGCTATGGAAAATGGTCCGTTCATAGGTGATAATTTTGTTATATATGTCCCTACGATTCCCTACGAAACATATTCAGAAAGGGTGATGTTCCAATGATGTTCCAGTAAACATCAGTAAACTACATAAATTACCAGAGGGATCCAGAGGCTACATGCTCTTCAGCCATCTTCAGCCTGCAGAATCTGTCCAGCCTTGCCCTGCAGGGACTTGCCATTGAAGGCGATGAAGCCTTTGGAGTTGAACGCAGCTCTGGCCTCCATGCAGGCCTCTTTCCAGGGCCGAAGGTTTTTCTGGAAGCCTGAACAGCTTGGGATAGCTTGGGTCTCAGGATTCCCATTGGTGGATCTGAACTGCTCGGATTTTATTGGGAAAATCATGGAACATCTAACTCACATTCTGACAGCAGTTCCGAGACACCAACGTTCCTTGCCGTTCTCCGACAGCCGCTTTGAGACAACTCTCCCGTGCTTGTTACGCACTAGCGAATCCTGATTGAAGAATAGCAAAATAATGCGGATTGTGATCGTGATTGAAGAATAGGTAGTCTGCATCCATACAGGCAAACAAAATAACATAAGTATAACATAAGTTAACATAAGCATACATAAGCGACAATTTCGGATGGTCAGTGCTTCCATCAAATGCTCCAAGTCGAGTTCCTTCATGAGGCCACCAGTAGTCTTTGCCTCACGCGATTGGTAGCGATCAATGGTAGCCGTTTTGGATCCTGGGTCCTAAGATGTCCTAAGGACTCAAATATGTTGTGACAAAATGAATTCATAAATTATCATAAGTTCTGTTTCATTACAACATGTTCACCATGTTCCTCCCTTCAGTTTCCAAGTTTTGGGAGAAAACATGAAAGAAACACAGCACGGCATTCCGGCATTGCATTCTGACCTTCGTTCCTCTGAAGACCTGTAGTTTGCTGCCAAGTCTACCATGGGTCGCTTGGCCGACACGCTTGGCCTGCAAGAGAACTCACAACTTCGGAGTGCAGGACCCTGGTGATCACAAGTCCCCTCAGTGCAACAACTGCTCTTAGACTCTACAATCGCTGCTTGAATCTGCTTAAATCTGCTTAACAAAGACACCAAACACTTCTCTCATACCACATTCTCACCCGGACTGCTTAGCCAAACTTGTTGCAGAGACCTCGCCCCCAAAAAAGTCACGTCCTTTCCTTGACAAATTTTATCAGCCCGTGTATGAAGCATCATCTCATGGAGTCTGCTGTACCTTCATCACGATCTTGGACTTCACTGCTTTCATCGTTTTCATGGCTTTCATTGCCTTCATCGCCTGGGTGGTTCCAGAATGTTCCAGAGACATTCTGATCATTCTGCTGCAAGTCAAGCCAACTTATGGCTTCCGTGGAGACTGTGTTGCAACATGTTGCAACATCAAACGATTCTCCGAAGAGACCTGAGTCAGTGGCCACTGCCATTGCGCCCAACCCAGAGTGGCACCGGATTTCTTGGGCAGAAGGCCAACACGGCTGCGACAGCACATCCAAATCTCCAGCATGTTCTGCCATAATGCGCTACAAAGGCATCCCTCAGCTAAATCCTGGGAAACAACAAATACTTAGTATAATATCATCAAATATCAACTTTGCTCCAGAATTTGGGCTTGGGCATGGCACGGTGCATTGTCAATAGCAACTTACACTAGCACTCAAGATCCAAGCTTAAATTGCTGAAATGTCTACCACATATCATCCATCTGCCTGTCGAAGCGGAGGCAGCTCTGGACTTCAGTCCTTGGGTTTCACATAGTTTCCCTATGTTTCACAAATAAAGTGCGCAGCAAGGTACCAAAGGTACCAAAGTCTTGGTCCCATCCAGTCTGATAAGTAAGCACTCGACCTATAGGAATGCAGCGAACCACAACAGGTGAAGTCGCCAGCCCACCATTTTGCCCGAAGCAAGCAATAACCTGCAGAGTGACTGCTGTTGGGCAGTTGGGCAAGCACTGCAAAGTTTGCTTAGGGCAAACCAACATGGATTTTAGACTTCAGTTGCCTTCGAAGCCTTCGAATAAACATGATAGATCTCCTTTAACGTTTACAAAGTCCCAGCCTTCTGCTTCACATTTTCAGGCCGACGCCGTTCTACAACTTTTTCTCCTCCTACGAATGCTGAGCAAAATTTAAGGAAAGACAGTGCCGGCTGTCTCTGAGATTCTCTGCAAACCAGTTACGATATGTTATATAAATCTTTTTGGCGCATGGCAAAAGTGTTTGCTTAAATCAAGCTGAGCAGGACCAGACTGGCCCCCCAATTTCAGTGTGCTCAGCCCGCATCGCCTGCAGGACAAATCGCCTCAGAAAACAGCAAATTCCAAGGGACAAATGCGATCCGATCAATCCTTTCAAAGAGGATCTGACCGGTTGAAGATTACTATGGTGGAATGCATCTTGAATTGAATAGTGAAGCTTCATCAACACTGAGAGTTAAACAGTATAACCATTTCAAATCAGCCATGAAAAATATACTGCTTGGTTAGATTTGGTTAGTACATATTCCTATGGGCCTATGGGTTTCATTGGGTTTCAACAATCCCAATAACCCACTTGACTTCACCGAGGCACAGAGGCAGACTCATCGCCCTCAATCTCCAGGCCTGAAGCGTTCCCAGTGGAGGCATCCCCAACGAGCCTCTTGCGAATTGCAAGCAGATTGAACCTATGTGATATCAACATATATCAACCCGGGCGTTTTCTTCTCGTGTTCCAGGGAGCATCCCTATGAACTACTGCTGTCCGGAAGACAAGAAATTTGATTGGACTCTGTTCCGCAGAAAGCCTGGACACAACCAAGAAAAGTAAAAAAACACACACACACACATCTGAACACCTAGAAAATTGCTGCACTTCTCCAGGATCTTTCTGCTTTCTAATCAAACTTCTGACGTCCAGTTTGCAGCAAAACGTACATTCTTGAAATGGAGTCTTAAACATTTGAATCCTTACCTGCTGATGGATCCACTCCAGAGCAAGCGGTCACAATCCACCATGTGGGGATATCGAACTGAAGTCTCTACAATGTGCGAAAACTCGCTGACTGAAAAACATGCAGCAGCGGCGCACCTAAGCAAAACTGTGCCAGCAGGTGCCAAGCTTCGTTCAAATGTTGTAGGCGAATCATGAAACAATGAAGTCAACAGAATTGTCAACATAAGTCAACAGTATGTTCATATTGGATGTCCGAGTTGTCAATGGAACCCAAATATGCTGCTCCGGACTCGATCTGGTCTCGCGATAAATCATGTCTCGAAACTAGCACGTGCTGCACGTCATGAAGGGAAAATGATGAGCATTGCATGCAACAGCTTGCGTGATGGCCCCACCAAAAGCAATCATGGCCAAACGCCCATGCTTCAATTCCTGAGTTTTGAGGATCGAAATGTCCTCATCTGCTTCTGGAAGATCTGGAAGAAGGAATGAGCCAATCCCGAAATCTCCAGCAGTGTCCAGCGTCAGAAGTTCGAAGTCAACTCCCAGCTGACACATTCGCAGAAACTCCAAGGCTCCACAGAACCTCGGCCACGATTGATCTTAGGGACAGCATATGGGGATGGTCAAAATGTCAAAATATGTCAAAATATGTCAAAATATGTCAAAATATGTCAAAATATGTCAAAATATGTCAAAATCAATGATTTACATTGATTTATCGATATTTATCGTATTCGAGGGATGAATGAAGATCCATAAATCAGCTTTTGACCCACAGTCATAATAAGACAGGTATGATGTGGAGAACTGCATCAAACACATTTTTTTGACTGAAAAGATGTCAAAAGGCACCAAGATGCACCAAGGGTGCAACATAGTCAACATACACTCCACGTCAATGTCACATCCCCCAACCCGTATTCATCAAATAATCTCAACTATAGCCTCTCATGGATTGTGGTTGCTACAAGTAAGCTGCGCTTCTGTTCCACTGCAACTGTCAAGCAATGCTGTAGCTGATAATTCTTCCGGAGCCTCCAATACTACTCCAACGACTACAGCAAGTGAAAAATGGGAATTAATGATATGAATGTGCTGCCAAAAATGCGTATTTGTTCCAAAATCAGACTATTCAATGCCTGGAAACAGCAGGAGGCACCACATAGCTCCCCTGCCAGCACCGCCCAGAAGCATGTTGTGAGCTGAGATGGCATCCAAGCCCGTTTGTTTGAAGATGGGATCAGGAAAGCGGAAGAAATCAGGCAGGACCAAACCCGCATATGCCAACATCGCAACGCGTCCGTGCTTCACCTCTGCCTCTCTACACCAGGGGAGATTCTCAGGGAAGAGCTCACAGAAATTCAATGGATCCTTGGCTACAACTCCTAAATACATAAGACATACTGTATACAAATACATATACATAATATATATTATATATATTATATTATATTAATATAATTTCAATATGTATATATAAACAAAAACATACAAAAACACAACAAAAACACATCTATAACTACAGACATATGGAGCCGAACAAAAAAAACGTAAAGACACAGATTCATAGGACGTCCCCCTATTGTCCTACCCGGTTCAACTTGCTTCAAACATTCAAAGAAGACATGTTTCACAAATCACCAAGAAATGAGCATCTGGATGATCTTAAACGCATCGAACCGCCGAGCTTCGAATTCGTAACGCCCTGCTCCATGATGATCGCACCCTTCCAGGCCTCCAGCGAATGCTTGCCGCGCCAAACCCACTTTGGAGCTTGACAAGCGCGGAGGTTGGACTTTTGAGGCAGACAAGCTGAATGTTAGGATAACGAGACTCAATGGCCAGGTCCATTTAGGATTGGACGGCTTGTGGAACACCCGTGATTCGCTCGATTGCTTGCAGTTGACTCTGGACATTGGCGAAGTCGGCCATGTCCGTGAAGCTTTCGACGAGAACGCATGTTGTGATACAAGATTAGGACCTTGTGAAATCAGCCTCAACATGAACACCATGAACACCACAATGATCACAACTTGCAACCTGCAACGGATGCAACGGCTCTTCCACATGGCTTCGAAGGGCGTCGCCCGGGATCCGGAGCTCGAAGAGTTCTGTGTCTCGATCCTTTCAGCCACAAAAAAGCTGCGGAACATGAACATCCTTGGGCCGGATTGAGAACCAAACCTTGAAGAGCTTGGGAAGATTTGGGAAGTGAACATACTGAACTGTTGAATGTGAAATAAAACTCTAGCTATTCTATGCTATTCTGTGCTATTCTAGCTTCTTTGAAGCTAAAGCTGAAGGGGAAAAAAACAGTCTGTAGATCACGGCCTTCGGCGCAACATGGCGCAACTTGGCGGCCTGTTTCCAAGCGTTGCAGCACTCGTAGTAGACACGATGGTAGGGCTTCTTCCTGACCCGCAATCCGAGCAGCATAGTTCCTCGGCAAAGCCAATAAATTGCCATCTAATGAATCTAAAATCTAATATCCTATAAGCCTATAATATCCATTGATTTCTCATGTCTGTATGCCAAGAATATTCAAAAACGTCAAATGTCACCTCGCTGTCATAGCATAGCCTTCTTAGCTTCTGGAGTGCAGCTGCTTGATGACGGGAACGAAAGTGTGGTTGTTTGATTGATTCAGATTCCCTCCCCCGCGAGTACTACTAGAATCTACTAGATACAGTACAATACCAGAAGAATCCAGAAAAGCTTGCAATAGGCCTGCGCAATATGGGTTTGTCCGTTTGTCTGAACATGTTGTATACCCCCCCTTGTGTGGATCCAAGTTCAAAACACTGGATTTTAAGGCAAACAACAGAAAACCATGACATCCAAGGCTCTGCTTGAGGAAATCCTCCAAAGCTGCACTGAGCCTGGGCTGTGGTAAAGCCGGCGAAGGACAAGAATGGACAAAACACACCAGAACCGTTTTTGAAAAAATCCAACAGCCCATTTTTGAATGGGCCTTTTGTTTGGGGTTGTCATGAGCAGGTGCGGCGCAGTGCGGCTTCGTTGCTCGCTCATATCTGCTGGATGCAGAGACGAGTCGACTTTCAAGCGTGCCAGCCATCGTTGTAGACCAGCATGAGCAAATGGGAGATTGTCCTCGTTTTCTGTACTGTGAAAAAGATGAAATCTAAACTGAGATAGTGAAACTGCTGAAAAGCATTGAAAGGCTGCAGAATGCAAACCGAGAGACTCCGTGAACCATGCCGTGTGCTTCTTGAATCAACGAAGCCACCTCAACAGAAACCCAGTAGGATCTGCCAACAAGACTATCTTCAAAGCCATGGTCACTGGGTGTCCATCCGTTGAATATGCATCACTTACCGCTAGTAACATCCCGTTCCATGTCTTCCCCATCTCCATGCCCCACCTGGAGCAGTTCAGACAACGCCATGTTGCCCAAGAGTCGCTGGGCTTCTGGGTGCGTCCTTAAACTGGTCCAATTGGTTGATCTTGGTGCTGTTCCCAAGTATCAGCCACATCCGAGTCTTAACGGGCAAGAACTCACAGCAGCAAACATCAAATATCATCGAATATCATCAAATACTATTCAATACTCAATGATACCCAACGGCTGTTTAATGGTAGAATATGGTAGAATCCATGATCGTAATGATCGCAGGCGGATGCATCTTCTATCATCTCGCCCTTGCAATCAATCTGACCATATCTTCCTCCAACAACTCTAACCTGACAAATACTACTTGGTGGCCGTGACCCAGTATCGAATGTATCGATTAGTATCGCACATGGTATACTCTTTCTGCAAGGATCTCCAAATTTCGCAACAGTTGCATGGAAGATCCGCCAGCCTCAGATCCAGCAGATCCAGCAGATCCAGCGGATCCAGCGGATCCAGCGGATCGGACTTCAACTGACTGAGGTACCAACCGTACCAACCAAGAGTTCAAAATTGAGATATGTGCCACATGTGCCCTGCCGCGGCGTTGCACGTGTCAAATACTCCTGGCAACAAAAAAGAGCACCCGAAAGAAAATGTGAAGCAAAGCGTCAATCGCATTGCAGGATTTTGCTAAATGGCTCTCACATAATCTCACAGAACTAATTTTCATGCTACTAATAGTACTCTCTTGATTCTAAAGTCAACAAGTGTTGCATCGTCATGGCCATTACAACACAGCGGGAGTTGTGTCCTTGCCGACTTGAAGGAGAAAGTTCAGACACAACTGGTGTGGAGCCTAGCGAGTGACTGTGCGAATAGCTCCTTGTTCCACATGGTTTTAACCAGAAATGAACAACTGACTCAGAATATCAAGCATAAGCCCTCTCATGTGACGATGAGGATCACTTGCAAACAGTCAGATGTGTTTTACTATTTTGAAGCTGTGAACGAGGCAAGTGTGGCAAGTATGAGTCGAGTTTTCCCTCCGGCCTCAGAGATGTTGTCTTTGCACATCTGTGCCGTCTCGGCCAGGCTCCGACAAAGCTTTTGGACCAGATCTGAATCTTGCTGAGCTTTCCCCTGCGATGCGAATAGTTGCCAAGAAGTGCGGTGTTGTACCAGCGCAAATATGTTGTGCCATTGTGCCCTTGATGATTCGATATGACGTTTCGGTGCGTGCCCTTGGATTGATCCCCAATTGCATTGGTTCTTTTGTCACGGTCCTCCAAAATCGCAATAAGATGCAATAAGTAGAATAATTAAGTGCTTGTTGGGTGGATACCCTCAGCACACATCGGTTCGCAAGAGTTGGGTTCGTCAGAACATGTGGTATTGTATACCACCGTATACCCAAAAAATGGCAGCTTAATATAGTTTAGCAGGGAATATGATGATATGATGATTAATCATGATATACTACGATTAACCAATCGACTTCGGGGTGTTGCCATCATTTTCAAACACCCCCTGCAGCTGCCTCTTGCTCCGCCAGAGAGAGCAGTCGCCTGAAGCAGTATGTTGGAGACTACTGGAGTATGTAATATGTACTGAACATGAACATGCAAAAAAAAAATGTCACAGGCAATGGATTCCACGGAGTATAAAATAACATTTGCAACATCTATGATCATCTATGTAGAATGTGGAGCATGCTGCGATCATTGGACACTCCCATCATGTCAATGAAAGTGAATGAGACCATATGACATCCATTCATGATTGATGAGAGCTCACAAATTGCCTGCAGGCTTAGCCTGCAAAGTTATTGGAAGCAGTGGCGAATAGGAATTATCTTCACTCTTCACCCACAGTGTTGATATGCCTTGATCATGTACAAACAAGTTCTGTCCATTTGTGGGACGTAGGTCTGGCATCTATTCTGGGGAAATTATGCATACCATATGTCTATCTGTGTTGTTGGTTCTTTGCTCAAAAGAAGCCTTTGCTTACGCAGCTTGGTGTGGGATCCACAGCTGGTATCCTTTGCTGCCTTGCTTAATTTCAAGCAACCAGCCGCTATGATCCCTCCGCACTGCTGCAAGGTATCTGTTCGGTATCTGTTAGATCAAGCCATTCTGAGGGTCTGACCCAGCCAAGTGCCCAAGCCTTAAAGGATTTGCAAGAGAGACTGGCGCTGCCATGGCATGTTGCTCTGAGAAAGGATGACAGGATGGACAACAACATTTTGCGTCAAGACCCTTCCATGAAAATAGAGAAGCTGAAAGCATAATCACGATTTTTTTTGAGGTTGCCCGCAAGCAGTCAAATCATCCAATTGCTGTTTCTTTAACATTGTAGAGTTGCAATGAGTTGCACGCAAAGTTCGCTACAGTAAGACAGTAAGCACACTCTACTGCCTGCCGTGAGGCTCAAAAGGATGCCAGGATGCCAAAGGGTGCCGAGTGACACTGGCAGTGGGATCTTTCCCGTCAAAGCCGAGGGCAAAAATCCCATGGCTTCTGCAGCGCTATGAAGTGATCCACGTGCCTTTGCAGTGGCTTCAGCATCCAGGACATCCTTTGGCAGCACAGCTGCTGTCCGGGCAAAAATCACCTGAGATCGAGGGCGAAATTCAAATCACCTGCCCCTGGCAGTCCCTGGCAATTTCTAGAAGTCAACCAGTAGCTGCAGTCCAGGTGACGCTCTTGCGGTATGCCGTGAGAACTGCTTCTGAGACCTCACTGGCTTTCCAACAGGAGTACTTTTCTCCATGTTGTTGCAGCTTCTTGATGGCACCTTAGAAACGCTGAGCCCAGAGGACCAGCTGAGCCCAGAGGACCAGCTGTACCGTTGTGAGAAACATGTGACATGATCCCACAAATCCTGCGAAACCAAGTTGCTTCAGACATCTCCCACTGTTTTTCACAAAGCCACTGGGCTGAAATGGTCGAAATATGTCGAAATTCACGCATTTGATGCGTTTGATGTGGATCTCCGGGTTATCTGCAGCCTGGGCACTTTGCATCTCTTCGTCGATTAGTCCTCCGCCCAAACATCGGAGATATTCAAATGAGCGTACCTTGGCGCAAAGAGGGGATTTACAGCGGGACGGACTGTGCAGCTCAAAGGTTACTAGTGACATCTGGTGACCCTTCAGCTATCTTCAGCTCAGGTATCAACCAGGTACCAACAGCCTTGAGTCTCACCAAAACTGAGAAGCCAAGAGTGTCAGGGATTGACTGTCACAGTACGATAAAGTTGATTGAACTTCCTTGTATGTTCCTCACAGGGACTTGCCACTATGGGCGGCTGTTCTTTGCTCTCCCCGCTGTTTATCCCAGTTGCAAGGTCAACATGCTTTGTCAGGGGCTCGCAAAGATCTGCCGCAAGCAAGGCCTGACCTTGGCCGCCCTGGGTCGTAGCTATGCATCACCGGGCACCAAAGGAATTGTATCGAAATAATTTCATCAAATGCAATCAAAATCATTACAGGTTTTCGGTCGGACTGTGGAAAAATGTGGAAACTAAGGAAACTCCTCCAATTCAGAGTCTGAGATTGGAACTCATAACAGAAGCGCGCGAATTCTTCCATGAGAAAGGAGCCAACAGAGCTCGCCAATCATCGAGTTCATGCCGCCAGTGCTCATTGGCATCTGTCAACGGCACCTTTTGGCCCTGGACAGGGACGACGTTCCCCAATTGATCTCACAAAACAATGACCATCATATCTTCTCACGAGAAATTGTCTTTAAATGGTGACAACATTGCTGTGATAACACGTGATAACAAATGATCACAAGTGATAACAAGTGATAACAAGTGATAACAAGTGATAACATGTGATAGCAAATGATAACAAGTGATAACAAGTGATAACACGTGATAACAAATGATAACAAGTGATAACAAGTGATAACAAGTGACAACAAGTGATAACAAGTGATAACAAGTGATAACAAGTGATAACATGTGATAGCAAATGATAACAAGTGATAACAAGTGAGAACACGTGATAACAAATGATAACAAGTGATAACAAGTGATAACAAGTGATAACAAATGATAACAAGTGATAACAAGTGACAACAAGTGATAACAAGTGATAACAAGTGATAACAAGTGATAACAAGTGATAGCAAATGATAACAAGTGATAACAAGTGATAACAAGTGATAACAAGTGATAACACGTGATAACAAATGATAACAAGTGACAACAAGTGATAACAAGTGACAACAAGTGATAACAAGTGATAACAAGTGACAACAAGTGATAACAAGTGATAACAAGTGACAACAAGTGATAACAAGTGATATTTAACGAATCTTCTCCGAATACCGAAGGTAGTGATATGTAGTGATCCTGAATATCTGATTCTCTCCGTTGCTCCTTGAAACGCTTCGCCACTCTTTCGCAGCTTCGAATCTCAACGACCAAGCGGAGGACATCACATCGCTCCTCCGTTAGCATTTCCTTAGATAGGATGCGAAGCCACGTGGAATAACACATGTACAAATCATTTCCCACATCAAACCATTGTTTATGCAGTATACAAATACATGTACTGTATCATCTGTATAATATCTGTAATACATGAATGCACCATAAGTCATAGGCATAGAGAAACAGTTGCAGTAACCACAGCTGACCAGAAACCCAAACAGTCAGTTTGCCCCAGGTCAGTCAAGTTTCCGACATTGCCATACTGTAATTCAAAAGGCACTCGCATAGCACAGCAAGTTTTCTTCCCGCAAAGTGTTCAGCACAACTGACCTCAAAGGTGCAGGTGGCCCCTGAGGGAAATGCGTTCAATCTGCACATGGGGTGGCTGAATTGCTTGTAAAAAATACACAATGAACAATCTGGTTTCTTGTTAGCACAAGCTAACGCTCTTCCAGAAGCCAACGTTCTTCCAAGGTATTCTTCTTTCTATTTATCAACAAGTACCAGAATTCATGTGTCACAAAAATCAGCACATAGTATTACATAGTACATATCAGATCATATCAGTACATATATCATATATCAATATGTCACAGTTTCAATATGTTTCAATCAAGCTCCTTGGATCTCCTTGGTCCCTGGCGTTCAGGTTGTGTAACTCCATTGCTGACCACAAAGATGACCAGGACCCATTTGCCCTGCGCTCGCTGCGCTCGCTGCGCAGTTTGCTGATGATCTCCTCGGTGCGACTAGGTCGACTACGCCGTGTAGTCGAACATGCTTAGTATAGGTGTTATAGGTGTAATACCGACCTATGGTTATAAGATAACTATAGATAACTGGTGTACAACATGCTCTATAAAAATAGACAATATTTGGTTATCCATGGTTATCCCATAACCTTCGTAGTTGAATTACAGTAACTGGTGAACAACCATTATGCTACGACTTCTCCGAAGGCTGTTACTTCTGTTATATTGCGTATGTTGTGCTGAGTTCCCCGGCCGTGAGCTCGGCAACATCGTGAATCTCAGGCCGTAAGAGGCTCAGCACCTGCAGAAGTCCAGGTGGTTAAGTCAAGAGGATATACAGATGTATACATATAATATAATATATTATATATATAATATATATATAATATATAATATATATAATATATATAATATATATATAATATATATATAATAATATATATATATATATTATTTTTATTATTGTGACATTACAATGATGTCTTTATAATTATCACATGTAGGGATATATGCCTAATAGTGAGTATACTATCATATCATCTTATCATTGCTATGTAGCTAATGCCTATATTGTAATGATATCACATGATAGTATAATAAATAATTAATAATGTAATATAATGTATAATCGCTCACACGTGCACTCGTCCGTTCACTCGTTCGCCTTACGTTCGTCACCACGTCCGTTAGCCACTCGTACCCCCTACGTTCACCGCGTCTCTTGGAGCTATAAAAGCATTGTTTACGAGGCTTTAAAAAAAAGCTAATGTATAACCTATAGTCTGTAGTTTATGACTGCATTAATTTATAATTTATGTTTGGGTTATTAGAATATACCACTATCATAGATTACCATAAGTAGTAGTTAGTCAATGCTTTCACATATGCTCATGTAGTTGAAGCTCCAAGAAGGCGAATCAGTAGCAATGAATGGCAGATCCAAACATCATGAAATGCCAAGAGCAGGACCTCTCGCAAAGCCGGCCTTGGAAGGTTGTTGGACTGTGGAGGTACCGTGACCTTTTGACAATGTTTCCCACCAAACAACTCATTGTATCGCGCTAGTCACAGGGAAAGTTCAAACTCCACGCGCCACATACAGATACATACAAGTAGATCACTAATAGGGCCTTTCCTTGACTATTCAAATCATACATAATCTGATGGATGACCATCAAAATCTCTGTAGCCTCGCTTAAGCCAGGACCCCGCTGGGACTGTGGACTGGATCTCTTCATCCTGCTGAGAGATAAATACCAATGCTCTGCTCCTTAGCAAACTATGTCAGGATCCCAACAGATGAGCTCCGGTCAAAATCCTTTAAATCTCAGTAGTTGCTATTATCGGTTATATATATAGCTTTTTTGGGGGGGAGCATATCCCTTTACAGTGCTTCGTGCACATGACAGAAAAACCATGCAATTACTAAAGTGGTGTTAAGTGGTGTTCAACCATTTGACGTTTCAGATGATGTCAGATGATGTCAGATGATGTCAGATGAATTTTCCATGATTTTCCAAGGCCCAAATGGCCCGACAAAAACCCGAAAATGTGACTGGAGTTCAGCTCCGCACCGAAAATCTCCATGCTCTCCAAGCTCAGGAGCTCGGCTGACAAGCCTCAGGACAGTCGGGACTTGACCGCGTGACCGAACTCCCCGGGGCGGGCTGAGTGCTCCGGCATTCACACGACATCCGGAGCCCCCACGATGCGGAACGATTCCAAGATATTCAAAGCCAAGGACACTTCATATTTGATGTTGACATGATTAAACCTTTGAGGTACCACATGGGAAGGCTATGAAAGGCTCCTACTCAGCTTTGTGAATTTGCTGTGGTGAAGGTTGCATTATCAGTCCCTTGTGGTCTGCTGCGCACAAACCAACCTCCTAGCATGTGTGATGAACATGGCTCCAACATCTGTGCATTGAACCAAGCCTGCAAAAGGAGAATCACCAGCAGTTCCAGTGTCAAATTGTGCTGGCGAGGGATGCAAGATGATGCAAGACCGTTGAGATTGAAAGATGTTGCTTTCTGTTTTAAGCGATGCACGGCATGCCCCTTGATGGGCTTCCGTGGGCCAAACCATCCAGCCAAGCACTTTGCTGTGGATCTGAATCGTGGCCGTGGACATTATCAATCGCCCGAGCTGAATCAATGATTGATGAAAACGTCTGCTGGACAGAAAACAAGGTAAGGTAAATCATGTTTTTTACTGAGATTGGGTCAAGTTCACCATTGATATTGTCTTCAAGTTCCCTGAAGAATGTCTTTGCATTGCATTTGATAAGTGATAAGGTTGAACAAATGCTTTGTTTCCACTTTAGAGTTTCATCTGGTAGGAGCATTTCCACCCAAGCGATGCGAAGTCGTTCGAATCACTGCCCATGACCTGGGTTTCATAGACTCTTTCGTGCAATGGAAACAAACACATGTCATTCCATGTTATGGTCCTTCTGCTGTCCATTGCAATGAGATAAGTGAGTAGAAAATAGTAGAAAGACGTAGGAAGATCAAAATGGTCCGCCTTGTTCTAGCTGTCTAAGTCTAAGTAAGTTTGAGACTGAGTTGTTGGTTGGTGGTTTGAACCCATCCCCAAAATAGGAAAATCAAATTGGATCAGCCCAAATCTGGTTGCAACATGTTGAAATCACCACTTGGACCACTTTGAGACTTCCAAGAATCCTCAGGGCGGCACCTCAAGACTTTTGACCAACCTTCAGCAAGGCCGCAGAGGCTGCGTCGAGTGCGCCAAGGGCCTTGTTGGTGGTGATTGGACCCCCCTGCGCTGTTGATCATTGGGTACAAGTACCATTTGGATGAAGCAATCACAACACTATGGGCTAAGCGACTTGAATTTCCAACCAGGTCTTATTCATCCGGGTTCACATTATCAATCAGTATGAGTCTATGAAGTTCTATGAAGGTTTCCTAAAATGAGCGTGCTCCCACATCCTCCATTCCAATAATTCTAATAGGCTAATAAGATGTTCCACCCTAAACCATCCAGCTATTGGGGATCATGATTCAACAAACCTGTGCAATCACTCCACCGTGTTGCTGACATTTGCCGTGGTCCTTTCAAGCAAATACGAGCCAAGCGCGAATCTCAGACTGAATTTGGATAAGATTGATTTTCGTAGGTCTTGGTAGGTCTTGGTAGGTCGCTTTGGAGATGGGAACATGCTGGCTCGGTGCATACTTTTCTAGCACTCACTTAGTCTTCACACGTATCGCTAGGCTTGACATCTTAGGTATATCTGACAGAGCATTACTAAGTAACAATGGGTCAACGTTCTTGGAGCATATCACTGATATATCTCACAAGGACAAGCTGATTAAGGTCTCAAACACTTAACATCTATACCCGGCCCGTATCGAGGGAGTATCCCATAGATAGAGGGAACAAAAATAATAAAATAGGGAATAGACGGAATAGAGGACAAACCACACAAAGACCCTCTGCCCATCACCCCGAAGAGGGGATCAGGGCGGTGAGGATGGGGAAGAAAAACAGGTGGAATATGTGATCTTGTGCCAAATTGGCAACAAGATCACATATTCACACAACCACAGACATGTTTCACACCCCAGTGAGACTCTTCCCAACCAACCTACAACACTGGAAGGCAAAAATCTGTTTGACAAATCGAGCACTAGTTTGTGTCTACCAATGGTAGCTCGTTCTGAAAAACACTGAAGGACCTACTCGGAACTACCTGGTGGCATTGACCCAAGTACTAGTTCCACAAGCCGTCGGATTTTGAATGTTCGACGATTCGACGATTCGATCTTGTATCTGTGCAATTGCGTCGAGGGACTGTCTCAAAGCTGGCAGAAATCGCTTTCGCTGCATCTCGGGCTTTCTGCTGACCTGCTAGTTGCTGGGAATTCAATCCCTTTGCCGACAGACTTTCAACAGTAGGAGACCTTGCTATGTAGCGAATCCATCACCACTTCAGATTTTGTGAAGCTCAATGAGTGATGTCATGATGGCCCCCTAGAGCCAGCAATTCCGCCACACTTTCAAATGCCAAGAGACGAAGATTTGCAGTCTCGTTCTCCTGCAAAGCCGTGCCAAAAACGTGAGGAATGAGAACTTGAGGCGAAAAAACATCACATGTTCAGGTGTTGTCAAGCGCAACAAGCGTACCGCTAGTCATGACAGTCATGAGTCATGGCTCAAAGATATTCAACACATACTGATCCTGTAAAGTCCAAAATCATCGGATGCACAGAAGCAACTCCTTGTTAACAGAATCTGAACGTTGTGCTTGATCGTCTGCTTTACTAAGCCTCCAGCTTCGGAGTTTCTAATGGCAGTGTTCTAACAAAAACACAGAGTCGCAACCAGAATTTGTCCAGATTCTCAGGCCTTGCTTGCATCTCTGCCAGCTTTTTGGCCTTTTTGCATTTCTTGTGTCTGATTGACTGTTACGCTGACAACGCTGGGTTTTTTTCAGTGAGGAAGCCTCACTGAACCCTCCACATCTCTGCCAGGCACTCAAGAAACATGGACAAGTGATGAACAAGTTATATCAACTTATGATTTCATCCTTACAACTAAAAGTAGGGGTATCATGGGGATATCATGGGATATTGATTTGACATGAATGATTAATGGGGATATCACCATGATGTTTGATGGGATACCGTAGTCTAAGTGCGAGTCCATCTCCGCATTTTCGCGCTGTAGTGCCTGTAGCTGTTCATGGCCAGAAATGGCTTGACCAGCGGCAAGCCATGCCTGGTCGCGCGGCATATGGCTGCCCAAAGTTATGGCGAGCCGAGGGAAAATGATGATAAAACATGATAAGACATGATAAAAGCAATACATATCATGTTCATATATGTTCATGTGTTATTTCTTACACATTGAATAACCATAAGATTACCATAAGATATCTCTCTTTGCTGTGTCTACTGGACACCCAGATCTCGGCTGCCCCAAGCTGCTTCCGGAGCAGTCTTTGAACCCAGCGATGACCTTGTGGCGCGTTGGGGATAGCCTCTGTCATCAAACCTAGCTGGACAATCTCCATCAATCCCCTCATGGAGGTTTTAATGGAAACATCATCTATAAATGGGGGAAATGTCCATCGCCAGGTGATTAGTGGTGATTACCGGAACGCCGGAGGGTATGATGGATTATTTTGAAAAAGTCATCTGCATTCTTTGCCATTGTCAACCCACATCCATTGATACTACCGGTTTTGAAGTTAATGCTGGAACCCATTCCCTTCGCACCTGTGCTCTTTTAGCCAAGCCAATCTCTTCTTAAGCTCACTCCTTGGAGTACCAAATTCATGTCCGAAGAGAAGATGTTCTACACTTGCAACTCATGCTGGAAGGGCCGGAAGGGTTGGCAAATAGCATTAATATGCAATGATATTAGAGTCATTTAGACATCGCAACAGCTCGGAAAACAAGGAAACCACAACCACAAAGATCCTCTGATTCAGGCGAGGTTCCCAGAACACCAATCCGCTGTTGCTTGTTCCTGAAGAAGACCAGCAGCTCTGCGGTGCTCTTGCTGATTCTGCTTTTTGCTTCTATATATAAATGTACATATGTATATATAATATTATATTATATTATATTTTATTATATTATATTATAATAGATATATATATATGATCAGTCTAACTTGCAAGACATGGCAACTCTCAACCACTCTGTATACCACTCTAAAATTAAGTTATGAAGCTCATGACACCAAGGAATACGATCTGAATATATACCCTGGTGGCCTCCGCAGTGTCTTGCCGCGGCCTCACTGGCACCGGAACACCGAAGTACAAAACTGCAGCAGGTCCATGTGAGCTGGTCTAGTCGACCATGCTAAAGGTCCTTTGTATTGCCAGAAGAAAACACATACCAGATAGCACAAGGTTCAAGAATCAGAGAATATTAGAGAATAAGACTAATTAATAATTATTGAATAAGGCAAGGAAAGCAAATACATCCAGCATCCAAGGTTTTCTTGAGAAAGTTCTGTTCGCAAAGCGCTTCATCCAAGGTTTGAAGTGCCGAGTTACCAAGTCCACGAGGAAGGTAACGAGGACTTTGCTGAAGCTTGTACCACCAGAGCAGCCTGGGCCATTGGTTGCGAAGGCGCAAGATCTGTTGTTGACATCACAAAAAGAAAAACAATTGCAAACATTCACAATACTTTACATAGAGTGACATAGAGATTACATGGTGAGCTGATATGATCAAAGGATACGACATGCTCAGCATTCTCTGGACTGCAGCGCTCTTCACAGTCAATTCCAAGCCTCAAGACAGTCCTCGTCTTGCGGATTGATCACTACCAGCACCTTCAATGAGATCATACCTGGCTGCTGCGACCCCTATGTTTCGTCTTGAGCCAAAGAGAAATTCAGATCACCCATGGGCTTTGGAAAGAGCACTTAAAGGGACAAACTACCCGGAACACATCACTGACCAATCATTCTTTGAATTTCTGTGATATGTCTTTCTACCAAGGGTATTCGAGTAGTCTGTCTTGTAACTTTCCATGCCGCCTTCGTCACTTTGGAACTCATTCAGCTGCTCTTCTGCTTCTGTAGCAATGGCTGATAAGTCATCCAATTGCCTCATCTCTGCCACTGTTTCCACGGCTGCAGTCCATGGTCAGACCAGCTGAGGGGCACGAACCATCCTGATGCTGTATGACTTTGCTTCATTGTAATATATTGTAACGCTAGTGAAGCCTTTCTTGTTCGCAGAAAGCAGTCCTATAAGCAAATTGTCGTTTCTGAATTGGAGGCCCCTTGCTGCTAAGTACTAATATGTGGTCCAGAAGGTAAAAAAGAATTGTCCTTCAACTTTCCTTTCAATGTCCATCTCTGACGAAGGAAACAAATACTGTAAGTATCAAGGCCAAAAACACCTAAACCCAACAGAGGCCCAGCTACCTTCTCAACAATTCAGATTGTGCTCTCTTGTCCTGCTTGGCCAATAGCTGCTGGGCCATTGGACCTACCACAGCCAGCGAGCTACCTGAGCTCACACGCAGGCTGTGAAAACTTGTGGCACAGAAAAAACACCCTGAGATAGTTGGGTTCCCTAAGCTGGGGCTGGAAATTCTTTTCTGGATCTCCTCAACATTTTCCTGCTGACTGCTGGATCTTGGCAGAATGCTTTGAAAGAAAAACGACATCACAGACTCTCGTTGGCCCATGGTTGGGGATTTCAGAAAAATTCTGAGATACCCAATTTTTAGACAAGTTTATTTCATTCTATTTTAATGTGGTCTTGAAGAGTCTTGCATTCAAATCTCTTTTAAGGTCAGGCGATTCGTTCAGAATTCGCCGCGAAGAATACAGTGGCCAAGCAGCGGATCGGCGCCACCAGGGAGCTTCGCCTTCGCTTGGTGCTTCCCAAAGTGCAGGGGTCCCATGACGAAATACGTCGCCAGGAAAAAACATCGAACACTTTGGAAACCATCATCCAATTATGGCTGGAAGATTAACATGTTCATGAATACCTGGTTTCTTTCGAACCAATTAGATTGCCACTTCTCGTTTCTATCCTTCACATTCCGGCCCATTCCACTATCTTGCGCTCATGCAGTTGCAAAAACTGCGCCACAGATGTCGCATCCTTGATCATGCTTGGATCTATCAAGGTATCTAAATGCCCCCGCGCGGTCGAGGCTTTACGAGACAATGTCTCTCTATCTCTAGTGCTGTCACATATGCTGCAGAGTCACCCTTCTTTGGGTGTCTCTTCCACGGGCTTTCCAAGCATCAACCTAAGCCAATGGATCAAAGGCAAAAAAATAACAACTGCACTATGAAAGTGCCAGCATGTTTCAGCACCTAGCTGCTGGCTGTTTTCCAAACCCTTCCAATACGCAGAGTGGCAAAGAGCACGTGAACGACTCCACATCGTCATCCTCAATATCATCCTAAGCCCACACTGATGGCAAACTGTTACAGCTGCTATAAGATGAGACGAACAGCAGGATCAAGCAGACCCTTGGACTGTTGATCTTTGGTGTGAAACGAGCAACTTTTATCTGTGCAAGCTGCAATCAAATGTCACGCCATGCCAACTGAGGAAAAAAACAGCTTCAAAGAAGGTATACTACGAGCTTTCAGCATACAGTTGGCGCATAGGTCGTTAAATCATCTGCATCGCACAAAATGTTGGCTTGAGGTCTGATTCGAAGCATTTGAACCAAGGCACATCCGAGTCAAGTGACTCCTGCGAGATTCGTGCTGCGGCCCATCTTGTTGCATTCAGCGGAGCACAAATGTGTGTCGTTGGAAGTTGAGGCAAACAAAAAGCATCAAAAAACCAATCATTGGAACTTCAGAACTTCCATGTTCCAAGACCTCCATCTTCTTTAGCTTCCCAAGACCACCAAGGGCTGAAGGATGCAGAGACGTTCCTCGAAGAATTTTGAGGAATGTTGGCCGATGGACTCCCTGCTCTTTTGCTCATTCTGTTCTCAAACTTGCAGGCCAGGTGCGACGTTCATCCATACCTCAGTCTGGGGTACCCCGACAAGCATCTCACAACCTTCTACGCGGGACTATGTAAATACTTGAACCTTTTTAGAATCCACCAAATAGTGGAAGAGTTTCGACCAATGCCTACTTCTTTCCAGAGAGAAAAAGTGGGCGAATCTGTGCTCTGTTCGACATGGAAAGTCCAAGTCAAAGCCTGGCTTAATTGTCGTATGGCCAAGGGCAAGCTTAGTTGCGACTCTTTTCCTCAGCCAGCAAGCTATCCCAATCCTTAGATGTGAGCCTATCCAGGCATGCGACGATATAAATTGGATGGGCTGCCGAACATTCCAAGTGGAGAGTCTGCATCCTGAGGTCTAGACTTTTCCATAGTAAGCGCAGAGTTGTTCTTGCTCCTCTAAACGCCTATCACTGGTCGTGGGTAGCAAAGTCCACAGGGGGAGATATGAAGAAATAGAGGCAAACAATTGTGTTTCTCAACATTACGAGTACCAAAGTATTCCCAATACTCGACGAAAACCTTCATGTAGAGGGTCTGTATCTTCGAAGCCCAGCCTTTTCAAGAAGCCCAGCTCATCAGATTCGACGGAATCCTTGCAACCAGGCAGATCAGTAGCATCCAGTGGCATCAAGTGGCCCCTGTGGTCATGGCTGCCAGCTTTTATACACTTTTTAATTAAAAAACATCGATGAAACATGATGAAACGATTTTCGTTCACCTTTACCCACCGACCATGGACCACCCTCAGTGACCTGATAGGCTTGCAACTGGGACTTCAAAGCATTCAGCTCAGCTCGGAGTTGAGCTTCCACCGAGGACATATTCACTGCCTGCAGCTCCAAAATTTTGCGACTTGAACCACAAATTTCCGAACAGCACATCACAAGCGTGTTATGCCTACACTCAAATCACATCTGTTCTATGTCCAAGTAAGCCCAAGTTGCATTTTGCACAGCCTGGCCAGGTTTGCCAAAGGCATGATGGAAAGATTCACATTCGGCTAGAAACCAAGCCGCAAACTATGCACAGATAGTCAGGGATGAATGACAAAAATCAAAGGAATCAACAGGCGCAGATTGTGCTGCCAACCTTCGTCTGGACTTGTTTGACAGATTGAGCAAACTTGAGTGTGGATAAGGTCTCATCCTCAGCACAGAAGTCTCGAATTAATCCAAAACCGTCATGTAATCTGGCCACGAAGAGGTAAAGCCCAGATCACTCACAAAACTCTGTATGTCATCCACAAATGTTTTAATTTAACGTTTTACACCAGCCATCACAAGCCGCGCCAGGATACATAGTCCAGGAAGTTGGGAGAGATAGCGGCCATCATCACTGTCTTGGAATTGCCACACAAAGATTCCTGGAAGCAGCTAGAAAAATGTTTTTTTCACCAGGTTTCATAAGTTGATTTTGTTCTCGAAAACAAACCAACCAGTGTGTTGGAACTGCGGGTATTGGCTTGATACAATCCATGACATACCCCAAACCCAATCTGATGATCTGTCTTGCTTCCTGGGGTACCCCATTCCAACCACTGGTTACTCATCATTTTCCCCATTAAATTACCATTTTTGGGGGGTATAACCCATTATCAAACACACCCATTTGGTGTTTCAGCCACTCCACATGTGGCAAGTTGCTTTGAGGATATAGGTCAGTTTGGACTCTCGGAAGGGCGGATTCGGCTTCTTCTTGGACTTCGCTGACTTGGCCAGTTCTGAAATGACCCTGACATGAGTCAAACGTCTGACACATTTGGGTGTGGACCTGAAAACATGGCCACTTTAAAAGGAAAAAATATGATTTAAACAAAAATAGGAGTACCAAATTTTCAGACGAACCCATTTGGGGATCAAGTTCCAAACTACAGGTGGTGACAAAGACCGTACTTCACATGCTACTTGACCTTACATCCATGGATCTGCCGGTCGAATCCTGTTTTTTGGGGGTGCCCAAGAATTCATTTGGATTGGCGGCCCCGTTTTTGTACCTATCAAGGGACCACCACCACCACCACCACGACCAGCAGCAGCAGCAGCAACAGCAGTTGGCAACCACATTTACAGCCAGTTTTATATCCTGATGTCAGCTGCGGCATGCGCCTGGCCAGCGTCGATAAACTTTGGTTGATAGCCGCACCTTCCTTCAACCTGACACAATGAGCGTAGGTTGGGAATGGCTGGGAGGTTTCGGGTTCCCACGCCTGTCACCAGTAGCTTTGGTTCGACCAGCTCGCTCTGAGCCAGCCAAATCTACCAAATGTGTCCTGTGGCTCAGCAACGCATCACATCACTTGAAAAGCAACCCCAGCAGAAGAATTGCAACCTGCATTCACGTTTCTCTACACTTCTAATGTTTGCTTTGCTATCCTTTGCTAATCTACATCATTTATGAATATTCAATCGTGTCATCCTCAGCACAGCTGCTCAAAATCAAGACCTCAGCACCTAAGACAGCTTAGTTTTGAGTTTACATTCCACTTGTCAACCAGGGTTGTCAACAATGTGACATTAAAAATTACACCGGCAAGAGGCCCCAAACAGTAGACAGAAACGGTAGACAAAAACAGTAGACAGAAACGACAGAAACAGTAGACATGCGGGTCACACAGCGGAAAGGTGGAAAGCCCATGATGCCCTGGTTTCAAAGCCGCCGTTTTTTGCGCAAGACAAACAGCACAGCAGCAGTCGCGACCAGACTGCTAGCTTTTGCGTCGCACGAAGCGTCATGCCATGGCTTCTTCCAGCGGGCATCAGGAGGAGCAGTCATTGAATGCCGCCACTGGTGACCACTGGTCATCTCCACTGGTGACATCTTCTCAACCGACATCTGCAGGAGAGCAGTGGCTGAAAATCAGACTTCGAGCGCGCCACCACAGCTCTTGTTGGGTGCAATACTTATGTTCCGGAAGCTGTCCAGGATCAAGACAGAAGGTCAAGCAAGTCAAAAGAAACGCCGACAAAGAACAGACTTGCCAGAGTGTCATTCGCAAAGCATGAAATATGGATGCCAACAAAGTAGTGGCAGTATACTGCATGACCGCGCACGGCCGCAGCGGCGAATCCAGTGGTAAAATATTTTGCAGCCAGCGTACAGCAAAAATGCCTGATCTAACCCCGGCCTTAACTCCTACCGTAAAAAAACCTCAGTGTGGACATACTGTTTGGGGAAAAGTGGTTTGCAATTGAAATGCTTGAAATAAGTCAATCCAGCTGGTTTCACCTGAGATGTACCCAGTTCTGTGAGTTTCCATTTTCAAATGTCTTGCCTACTACTACTACTACTACTACTACTACTACTACTACTACTACTACTACTACTACTACTACTACTACTACTCTAAAAAGATCAGTAACGTGGGAAAAATGCGACACCTGCAGCCACTGAATTGACCAAGACTCTGGGAGACCTTCGAAGGCTGATCTGGTTCCGTCAATGAGGTTTTAAAGGTGAAAATGCAATGACCTTGCTGCATCCGGACACAAGGGAGCCAGTTGCATAGTCAAGGCATGGCAAGGCTCTGGTTTGCAATGTGTGTGTGTAATGTGTTTAAAAGTTGCGATAAGAACATCACTGAATCTTTTCTCACAATGCTTAGATATTGATCAAATCCATGATATGATATGGATTGATATATCATTCAGCCGAAAGCTCCTAGGCAGAACTTGGAATCCTTCAGGAGCCCATGTCTGTTGGGAAATCGAGTCCATGCCGCTTAGCTCCGGACTTCTGCTACTTGTAGCATTCCTCAAATGTCGACATCATGTGAAAAAGGTATGAAAAAGTTCCATGACATCAAAATAGCTTGTTCTGATTTGTTCAGATTGCTTGCAGATGTTTGCAGTGTGCCAAGAGCTGCCTTGCTTCACATATCTGACATATCTTCACTGCTTCAAAAAATGCAGCTGGTTATGGTTCGGCCGCAAAATCGATGTTCACTGCAGAAAAGTGGCATTGCTGTGGCTGACACGTGCCTGTCACAAAGGCGGTTTACCACCGAGTAAAACCGCATGGATTCCCAGGTGTTACAACATGCTACAACACTTCAAACTGTGGCATCAAGTATCATCCAGCAATATCCCTTTCATCTTTTGGCTTCCAAAACTCAAAGCCTGAAGAGATCGGTGCCATGCCGTTTATCAGAGATGTCCTGCCTCATTTGGGATCCATAGTCCACAAGATTGAGCACTTCTTCGCCGGAAGCAACTGCGGCTTCTGTCAACCCTGTGACGTGGCAAAGACAATGATGTCACTAGAGTGGAACTTGCTGTCGCTAATCATGCTGAAATTATTCAAACATATTCAAACACAAAGCCGTGATCCTGGAGTTTCTTCCTCACTTCAGCTCGAAGTTTTAAACCAGTTTTGTTCAGTCCATGGCTTGTGTGTTCTGCCACTTGAAGTGTCCCCGGCCTGGAACAATTGTGCCCAGAACTGGATGCTGTTTGACCTCCAATTTTTTGATCTCCGAGTCAGCTGGCGCCTTGGGATTGGACAACGTGCTGGTCCAAGGGTCAGTATACTGCGCCAAAAAAACCGCCTGTCGAGTCTTGCCGTGGATTTCTTTCAATTTCTGACAAATGCACTGAGTCTTGCAGGTCACTTGGCCAATTTGACAAAGTCATTTCGGTGCAAGTGGCCAGCAGGTCTCGGATCTGCTCGTTGTAGATTTCCATGAAAGCCACCTGGTGAGAGTTCTTCAGTGTTCTTCTAACACTACCCCAGCCGCTTTTTTGTCATGCTCCGATGCAACAACTATGGAAACATCATGAAGGGTAGAAAGTGTATAGTGTGAGCATGTGTGAAACCTCTGCAATGCGCAAGCTGCATATTGTCACTTCAGTTTGCCAACCAAGCAGCAAGTGTCTTGTAGGTTGCACCCTGGAGTTGGCGAATCCCATGGCAGCTTCATATCGCGGTTTGTCGCAGGTGCCATGACTGTGAGATGATATACATCAGATTACTCAGATGGGTCACAGAAGGTCACAGCAAACATTGGAAATTCCCGGTCCTCTGGGAGCTTCGCGAAGTGGTCGAAAAGCCTTGGCAGCTCGGCGGATCAGTTTCTTCCACAGCTCATTTGTTGTGCAGCCATTTCCAAGACGAAGAATCCCAAACAGATTTACTCCAACCTATATGGGTAAATGATAGTTATATATAGTTATAATATAATATAATGTAAGGATATGTAAGGGGGGTAAATTGCCAATGTTTCCCGGCATTCCAGCTGGCGTCAAGCAGCCCTTCCACGACTCTCGGAAGAAGTCCCCGTTCCTCGCCCTTGCCACCGAGCACGCTGTAGGATTTTCCGCCTCGGTAAGACCACAGGCGGCATCCAGGAAAAGCGAATGGCGTGTTTGTCCTGTGACAGCCCTTGCACTCTCCGAAATGGCGATTTTAGTTTATTATATATATATATATATGTATGTATATATTATTATTATTGTTATTATTATTATTGTTATTATTATTATTGTTATTATTATTGTATTATAATGTATTATATATCTTGTTTGTTATATTTTTAATAGGGAAAATGATAATGAACCATCAAATTTGGGATAATTTTGGGGTATCCATGGGTACCCTATTTTCAGACAAACCTTTGTTGGGAACAATCAAACATTACAAAACAGGGACGCCACAGACACTGCACTGATACACTCCACAATGCTCCACTAGTTTCTCAGTTGTGCCCAGCTAGGAAAAGGGAAGCTGGAGGTTTGAGTCCACCCAGTCAACAGTTCAATCTTTCACTGCCACTACTGCCCTAATGCAGGGCCAGGAATCTGCAAGCCAAATGGGCACTGGCTACCAAAAGTGAAATTAAAAAGGCGCTGGCTTGAAACCTAAGGTGGAAAAAACATTAAGCAACTCAATGCAAGCGAGGCGCTACCAGTTTGCCCGTAGGCAAAAATGCAGTTGTTGAATCCATTCATAGCATGTTCAAGCCTAAGCAGTGGTGCAGTAGCCAATCCCACAGCTGCTGATGGAGTATTACTAGAGTATCAAGTTTTTCTTTCAGCTCTCAACTTCCAGGAATGAGTCCTTTAGTTTAGAAGCAATGCAAAAAAGTTTGCAAGTGTTGAAACACGTCAGTGTTGGTTGCTGGTGTTAACAAAAGACTTTTGAAGACATAGTGGAGAGTTCCACACTTGCACTCACCAAATGTTCAGAGGTCGGCTTCCGCCCACCCCACACACATTAAGGCAAGGAGCATGGTGACGCCAAGTTCCTGATCCGCATATTTATCGGCAAACTACAATGCTACAAGGGTTAGACAGTTATAGAAAAATATAGAAAACACATAGAAAATATTTTTAGAAAAATGTGCCATAATTTAATAATATATCCAATATATTAGTATTTAGTATGTATTTAGTATACAAAATTTAGAAAGTGTCTTCTCTCGAAATGAGAATGGATGGAAGCCTGATTCCAAAATGGCATGAATTCTTCAACCCTTCTGGCTGCATTTTCCCCTGGGGCATAAGTCCTGGACAGGTGGCCTGTGATGGAAAGCGATGGTGCAGGCCTTCCTATGGGTAACCGGGTATATCAGCTGTTAACCCAAGACTCCTGGAAGAGATGGGGAAAGGTTCGAGGGAAGAGATTCCAGCCATGGCTTGCCCAAGGACAAACAAAAAGGAAATGAGAGGCTGCTTCCGCACACAACCTGGAAAATCTCCCTCAAACAAACACTCAAATCATGTTTTGGCCTACACACAATGAAATTCCGATCCAACACTTCACAGCAGGCAGTTTTTGGTCCCGTATCAGCTATACTGATCATTGCTGAATCTACACTGCACAAGTCATCGTCAAAGGATGTCAAAGGCTTCACCAAGGCTCACTTTGCAACGTTTCTTGGGTGGCGAAGAATTGATGATCAGAGCTGTGTGACCAATAGCATCGATCAAACTCAAAGGCCCGCCTCAAAATGGGACATGGGACGATCGACAAAGGACTTCTGGTCTTCCGCCACGAACTTTGCCACGAACTTTGTCATGGCTTACCAACTTGCCCCTGCTAAATATAAGCGATGGAAAACGATGGAAAACGCATATGCAAGATGTCTTGACTGCTGAACAAGTTGTTGATACAGTTATTGTCACAGATTGTCACGGGGAGCCCTGTGCAGCCCATACATTTCCCACATCATCCACATGCGGCCAGTGTCAGCAAGGCACGATTCATCATCTGGATCCTCAAAATTCAAGATCCTCACCTGGGTCTCGGACCTGAGCAGCAAACAGTCATCTTCAACAAGTGGATTTCTCTGAAAATATGCTATTCCCAATCTGAAGGGTTTTTTTCGTGAGTGGTTGATCATCATTTTCTGCATCAACATCAGAATTTGGGGCTAAACATGGCTAAACCATGCTAAACCATTCTAAAGGGAAAGCCATAGCATGTTTTGGGAAAAATCTATGGTTTCTTGGGAAAAATCTCAGGATCCTTTTCGCTGAGGGACGGCATATCGATGCACAGCTTGCATTCTCCACCCGAACGTTGTCCCTCAACCTGGTGTCTGCAACGGTCTCCGGGGGTCTTTGGGTCTGGGAAAAGACAACTGAACATGGAATGCCTGGACATACCGGACGTATGGTTGAAGCTAGATTTGATGTGATTTGATGTGGTATGATTTAATTGCTGTCATGCGAACATGCAACAGTCGAGCCTGTATCATGCTTCAAGTCCAGTGCAGTGCTGTAAATTGCAGAAACCACCACCCCCCTTGACCTAGCTTGTGCCGGTGCCTCCTCCTTGATGAAAGGTCGGACTCGGACACATACTTTGATTGTTGGGGAGTCCTACAGGCGCTGTGAGACATTCAGAAGCAAAAAAACGTATGGATTTTGGTACATGATAATTATGGGAAAACCGAAAACCCCTAAATAATATTTATTCCTATATATGACAATGCGGTTTGGGGAGGGACAATTCTCAGACACGCCCATACTTTACAACATTTTACAACAAACAAATATCAGTTGGAACAACACATAGGGCAACTATGGCGTGTCTGTTGGCAACTTGTCTGGCAGTACTGTAAGGAGAGGGAAAGCTATGTCCCCTTATTTGAGGCTATCCAAAAGGTATCAAAGGGTCCCATCCTATGGCAGCAGAACCATGAACCCAACAGGGTTCCTCAAAATCTGCAGCTGTGGACTGTCCTCTAATTGCGCTGTTTTCAGCACATTGACCTCAATCTCAACCCACAAAGCACAGCAAATTCACGACACCTGTCTTGAAGATCCAGGACCGGGTGCACATGTTTGACCATAAGACTCGACCTTTCCAGCTTTGAAGCAACTGGGCTTGCACAAAACTTTCCTTCACTCCCACCAGCTCCCACCTGCTTCACCTGCGAAACTGCAGACTGAAGTTTGGAAATCGCAGAAGGAGGCATGGCATTTCCAGCGTGTCGCACGCGGTTTGACGCCCGAAGCTGCGGCTAAAGAGGTTGCGTAGAGGTTGCGCTGCTTCAAAGTACAGCTATCTGAAATGAATTGAAATGACCTGGGTTGATTCCCCGAACCACTGTTTATGATGAGGTCAGTGTGATTCACCAAGTAATCAGAGTCAATTGTGTTCAATAGTAATAGGTATAAAATAAACATGTTGGAATGATTGATGTTCGAATATGTTCGAATGATTGGCTCAGCCGATGCTGCGAAACTACGAGTCCTCACAACCACTACTGTACTAAGCAGGACATGCCACTTCCACTCCGACCATGGATCATCCATTCCTTCAAACGACTTGTCCGAAAGCGAGATGTTTTGATTGAGTTTCAAAAACATCAACCTCACCATGCGCCAAACGCTTGCAGGGACGCACTGACATAGGGTTGAACCACCCTTTGCAATCTTTTTTTTCCTTCGGACAGCTTTCTGTGCTTTGCTGAGCAATTTTGCTCAGGTTATTTCGGCTCAACTTGAGAACCCCAGGAGATCAAGAAATGGCCAGTCTAAAATCGCCAATATGTTCTCGTCTTGTCTTGTCGCCGCCAATTCATGATAAGTATGTTTCTATAAGACACATGGAGGTCATTGATGATGATTCTAGGTGGTTGACAAGGAAACTCCTGCATGCGTGATATTCCGTGATGGTGCAGCTTTCCCAATAGGTTCTCTCTGCTACTCAGCGCGATCTGCAGCTCGTTAGGCTTCGTGTTATCTGCAAGTCAGGTAGAACTCCAGCGCACCACGTGATAGGTGCTATCCTGCGTGGTGTTTACTAGCCGTCCAATTCAGAACAGCTGTTGTCACTGTTGTTTTCCAAGTAAATTCCATGGAAAATTTAAAATAAGTGAAGATAAGTGAAGCATCTGAATATGCTAAACAATATAGCACCCCAAGAGAAAGAGCAGCAAACTGTCCCCACAAGACAGGAACAGCATAATAAGGGCAGGACCAAGCAAATGAGTCGCTAACTAACAATTTAGCAAGGTCCATGCGCCCAGGAAAATCAAGTATAGTACATCGGCTGACAGTTATAGTTGGTACTCATTGATTTTCTCTTCGTATGTAAGGCTTGCAAAAGTGTGCTTCGCTATAGATGTTTCATGTCATGACTGCTTTGAGCCCTGCTCGTCCTTGCCCGTTATGACATACTGCCGGCCTTTCCCACAAACGGATGCAGAGACTTTGCTTGTATACCATGTTTGAACATGGTTTTCAACATACCTGAATTACACTGAAGTATTTCTAGAGGTTGAATCGTTTAAAAATCTCATAAACCCACGAGTTTTTGTTAATGCAATCTTCAAATCCAGCATGGCTAAGATGCCGACTGCCGAAGGAAACAGAGATCCGCTTGAGGGACTCTGCGGAAGACATGACATGCCTTGAGATTTCTGATGGCCGAGATTGACAAATGGGTCATGTCTCTAGAGGACGAGTTGTTTAACATGTATAATATATATAATTATATTATATATATGTATAATATATAGGCATTTATAGCGTTTATAGACTCTAGCTGGATGAATATGCTTTCATCATCTCAGTTTTAACTGTCAACACCTTCAATCCAGCAGGCTCTCGGAGACGCCCATCTCGGAGGTGTTTTTTTTGTCAACAGAGTTAACAGGTGGCACGTTGCGAGGACATTCAAAAAGATGACAAAGAATGCTTTGTAGAATCTCCTGCATGTACTGTTAAGTTATCATGTTATCATGCGTTATCATGTGTTATCATGTCCGAATTCCTGAATGATCCTGAATGTGTCAGCAAAATCAACTTAAGACATCTTTAGATGGCCCACTTAGGGACTGCAGGGCCCGTTCGAGCCCTTCTGTTGTCGAGGTTTTGGCGCTCTGAGGTTCACACTTCATATCCCTGAGCACTTGCCAAACAGAAGCCCTTGGCGAATCTTGGCGATGTCTCACTGTGAAACATGGTGAAACACACACGGGCTCTTTCCGTCTCTTTCCATTGTGGAGGATGCCCATGGTTGGCATGGAAATCAATGGAACACGGGCTGGTTCCATTCTCCATGGACTGAGTTTGGGACACAACTTGATCTACTTCAGGACCCCAGTTGCCGTCCTGACAGCACGACCCCGAATCTAATGTGGGCACATGTCGGCACAGCCTCGCAACCGGTCACAGTGTAAGTTATGACAGATGTGACATTCTATGGCATTGTACGAAGCACTGAGAATTCATGAAATTGCTACTGAATATTACTAAATGACACTGACATGCGCCGACCTTGCTGACATCTACCTTGGTGCACTGTCCAAATCATCAAACACCGCTGCCTTACTCTGCAACGCACCCGAGGCATTGATGACCAGCCTTGGTAAGGATGACTTGTGCCCAACAAACTGAGGCTCTGTGATCTCTTGTCACGCAATGCTCTCAAGTTACAGGGTATATGGATGTATATGGATGTATATGCATGTATATGGATGTATATGGATGTATATGGATGTATATGCATGTATATGGATGTATATGGATGTATATGATTGTATATGGATGTATATGGATGTATATGGATGTATATGCATGTATATGGATGTATATGGATGTATATGCATGTATATGGATGTATATGCATGTATATGGATGTATAATGCATATTAATGCATATTATATTATATTATATTATATTATATTATATTACCCTCTGGTAAACTAACATAACTATGGAAAATCACAATTTTTAATGGGAAAATCCACTATTAATGGTCATTTTCAATAGCTACGTTAAATTACCAGAGGGTATATTATATATACGCATGTATGTTGGTCATCCATCCCGTAATGGGAATCCTTCTAGTGAGTACATTGAGTATCTAACTCCATTTACAATATTTAAATCAATATCAATGGATCAGTGACCAGTTGCTCAAATCGCGCTCCACTCACTGGCTGAGAAGCGAGCTCCCCATCCTTCGTTGCAGCCATCGCTACAACCACTTGAGTCTACACGGCTTCGCCAAGCGTATCCAAATGTATGCACATTACGCACCTTGTTGGATGTTGGTCTTGGAAATCTATGTGTTTGGAAGACCTCACCTTCCGCGCCTTCAAGACATGTCAAGACAAACTCTTGCAAGGCAAGGGATGGCAAAACGTGGCAAAGTTGCCAAAGTTCTTCACTGAAGAGAACTGCTTCGTGCCAAGCAAGGCAACTCAAACAACTCACCGGCCATCTTTTGGTCGGAGCACCAGTCGGCGAGTTAAAGGTTTCTGGGTCAAGCACAGGTTGTGCCAAATTCTGAAGGTTTCAATGACAACGAGCAGAAACTCTATCAGCAGAATCTGATCCAATTTGCATCCCAAAAAAGACAAATGGATTGGAAACCTCCAGTCAAATCTGCGCCCTGCAGCACAAGTGCCAACTCGTATCTACCAACAAGCTAATAGATGCTAATAGTATCTAATAGTTCTCCTTGATTTATGGGGAAAAAATGCCAGCTAAAAAATTGAGGTGCTGCAGGGACTGTTCATGGCCGCACAAATGTGTCTCAAATTTAGCGCCCGATTCTTCGGGCCCCTTTTGCGCGGCGCGGCGAGCACGGAGTCGGCGCCCTTTGCGCCGCAGCGAGTGCCCTATGTGACGCACTCTCTATGAAGGACTCCATAAGCGCTCAGGCGTCAATCGGCGTCAGTGACCAGCTTTCTTCTGACTCCAAACGATGCTAAATGCTTGGACAAACTATGACAAACTGAAAAATCTGACAAGGTCCTGTCACCGTGACCCCTCAAGAAACTCTGCTATTGGAGGCTCTCATTTGCTCAGCGTCTGCTCCAAAGGTCTGCTGCGTGCAAATCACGCACCGGCTTCCAGCAGATTGGCAGCAGATTCTCCGCT